TCTGCATACATCTGCTGACGCTCTTGAAGCCTGCCGTCCTCTGCATACATCTGCTGACGCTCTTGAAGCCTGCCGTCCTCTGCAGGAATGCTTGCTTCGCATAACGACTTGCAACCACCATCCCGTGAAGCAGTGTATGGTAAGCTACAGCTGTTTGGTCGGAGTGATGTGTTCCTCACCCGCTGGGTTTGCGCAACCCCGTGTCGAACGCCCTGACAATCTCGTGGACCTGAGCATATTGCGAGTTTTCACCGCCTACCTTGACGCAACCATTATCGAGCTGAATCATAGAAATGGACGTGATGGCAGGCAGGATAGTTCAGCTCCAGCCGAGTATTCTGCTGGCTCGATGAAGCAGTACTCTGAGGACACGGTGATACTGTGCATTTTATATCGCGGGTAGGGTTGAGTGTCACCAATACAAAACGCGCTGGCAACGATAAAGGGACCAACAATTAGGAGGCAAACTGCAGGCTCCTCCTGTGCTGAGCGCAACATGCAATCTACCTAGGACGGTACTCCGTACGGCAGATTATCTCTGTCCAAGCGCTCTGCCATAGGCCATTTTGGCGCGAAAACCCAGCGATGTTTGAATCTTGACCTCTTGCCGCTCCAGTCAAGCTGGTGGGGCCTACTGTGTACTGAGGATAACAATGGCTTCGTAGTCGACCAAGTGCAGAATGGCTACGGATCGCCACAAGCTGGAGACTTCATCGTCCACCCATCTATCCAGCCCTTCAAGAGCGAGGTCTTTGAGCCGATACTTGACTCCTACGCCATCCTCCGAAGTGTCGTTATCCGCTTCGGCTGCGCGTTACTCAGCACAGCACCACTTACGTACTCACCCAGTACTTATGCAGGCGACAGCCACACACATGCGCCTCGGGCACGATCTCAATCGACTGTCCGATGCTTCATTTGCGCTGTTCAGTGCTCACACTTGCCTGATTGCCCCATATACCACATCAGGTTCCCGCAGCAGGTATTGTGTGAAGGACACAAGTCTTAGTCAGTAAACCCCCCGTTGCTAGGCCCGATTCGGAAGGCCATCGCCCTTTTCATCAAGCCTTGCGACGTTGGGCCCTGTTGAGTCGACTTGAGTCGACTTTAGTTGGCAGTCTCTGCTTCTTCTTTGCCAGGCGTCGGCCCTTGACGTCAAGGGCACAGTCAACAAGAGATGAGCAGTCCGTTGCAATTACATTGCATTGCGTTGACGTGCGTTGGCTTGCCTTGCCTTGCATACCGTAGGTGACTGGTAGGTGAAGTGATTTGATTACTGTCCACGGTATAGAGCACGGGGACCCGTAACCAGGGAAAGACGCGGACCACGTTGCAGCGTAGATCTTCTATATGTACCGGCACTCCCACTCGCACTCGCACTCTCTTTCGATCAGAAGTCACCCCCATTTCCTACCATACCAGCAGTTGTCACAAAAGCCGCCGTACAGACCGTCCAAGGAATCAACATCTAACCAACGCCGCCAGCTACAGTACAGTACTAACAGCACGGTATCATCACATTCCATACATCCGGTATCCTACCACCCCAACCTCCCCCACCATCATGTCCTTCGCATCATACCCCCCGCCACCCTACAAATTCGAACGCCTCGACAAAGACAAGGCCATCCTCCTGATCGTGGACCACCAGCTCGGCCTCCTCCAGCTGGTAAAGGACTACACGACGGCCGAGTTCCGCAACAACGTCCTCGCCCACGCCGAGCTGGGCAAGCTCTTCGACCTGCCCACCATCCTGACGACGTCGGCGGAGAACGGGCCCAACGGGCCCCTCCCCAAGGAAATCACCGACATGTACCCTCACGCCCCCTTTATCCGGCGCAACGGCGAAGTCAACGCCTGGGACAACCCGGAGTTTCGCGCGGCCGTGGAGGCCACGGGTCGTAAGCAGGTCATTCTGGGTGGCATCGTGACCGAGGTGTGCACCATGTTTTTGGCCCTCAGCTTGCGCGAGGCCGGGTATAGCGTGTGGGCGAACACGGAGGCCAGCGGGACGGCCACTCCGAAACTGGCCGAGGATGCGAACCGGCGGATGGAGAACGCGGGCGTTCATTTGGTGAGTTGTCTGTGTCTTCGGCCCTGTTGAGCCCTGTGCTTCGAACGACTGTGACGGGATGTGATGAGTATGGCCGCGCTGTACACATGCTGACGTCTTCTGTCTTCTTTGTCCGCTCTACAGACCGGCTTGTTTGGCGTGGCCATGTTCTTGATGAAAGACTGGAGGAACACGCCCGGCACGGCAGAGGTGCTGCCCTTCTTGGACAAGGTACGTTGCGCCACATAAAGTCTCTGTCATTTCCCTCTGGACTTCACAGTGTCCCAACATGAACTACACACACTCACCACATGCGCAAATAGTATTTCCCGGCGTATGGCATCGTGGCCCGAAGTCACGGCTCGGCAAAGAAATCCGGCGAGATTGTCCCGGGAGAGGAACAGTTACTGGGATAAGGATGAAGTGTGCGGGCCGACGATCTTGCTTGTCTGCCGTGTATTTGAGCCGCGAGTCTCGCAATGGCAAGAGCGAGAGTGAGGAGAACCGGTACCCTGAGGTCAGATCTGCTCTTCGGTGGCCAAGGCCGACATTGAAGACGTTGTATACAACAAAATAATACAGATGTGTGGAATCTTGAACAAAGTCCAGGCGCCACGCTATGCCCTTCAATCCATGGTCCCTGGTGCCTGATCCTGCCTTTTATCAATACAGGTTCAGGTGTGAAGTCGACCACAGTTGAGCCGAATCTTGTGCCTTTTGCCCAAGTTGTCTTGTAGCGACAAGTCTTGCAGTAGAGGTTCACAGGACTTGTGTCGAATTCCACTTGACAGGTTATACTCGAATTATACAGCGCTATAACCGCCCCTCGAACCTCCTCCTGCCACTGTATCAGCCACCTTCCGGGACCAGTCTTTGACAAGGTAGGGGATATCGCGGATGGTGTCGCCGTGAGGGAGCAGGTCCCAGCCACGTGCGCCGTAGCGGTTGTAGTTCAGCCAGGAACCAAAGATGAGGTAGGCGGCGATGCCGAGGAACGCACTGTCAAGGTCATGTCAGCAAAACACTGTAATGCGGATAGTGGGCGCCAGGCGGACGTACATCAAGATAAACCAGGTAAAGAAGCCCCAGCCGCTCTTCTTCGCCTCGTCACTATCGGCATAGTCCTCACAGGCATACTTGGTGCGCCAATTCAACCGCAAAACCTCCAACTTCTCCTTGCCCTCCACCGGGCCGTAGCTCACGAACTCTAAACTCGATGTGCTGGGCGGTTTTGCCTTATCATCGCCGTCTTTCTTATCGTCCTTGTCCTCTCTTTTCCGCCGGCGTTTCTCCTCGTTGCCTGTCCTGTCCTTGTCGCATTGTAATTGGATGACTGCCTTTTGCTTCATGTGGTTGTAATTTCCACCATTGAGTTCGATCTGTAGACCGTCGGAGCTCGAATCCTGGGCTTTTAACCGCGAGACCTTCGGGTCGAGACTCCCGCCCGTGCTAGACTCGAAGTTTCCCGCCACGGGGATCACGTTCTCGACTTCGACGTGTTCTCTCTCCGGGTCGTCGGCCGGGTTCCACGAGCGGACGACGCCACATACTGTACTCGGTTCAGCGTTAGCGTCGTTGGACTTTATATCATGCTCCCTTTTGCTTCGGCGCTGCGTAGGGGCTTACCTCTCGTGCCTGCCGGGCATTGATCCTGGTCCCTTATTCCTTCGAGCTTCTTCAGCGGCGCACACAGGTTCACCGTCCACGTTGTGTTGTATTCTGCCGGCGGCCTCGACGTGTCGTGGACACTAACGGAGTGTCGACCCGCGAGCTTCGAAAGATCAAACTTCTTGCCATCCACGCGGATGTGATCGCAGTCTATTGATACGGCGGCGGCGAGATGTGACAAGGAGAAGAGTACAGATACTAATGAGTAGGATGTTGCCTTCATGGCTACGGATTAAAGGCAAGGGACGAACTGATAGAGGTCGACAGAAGTGCGGATGAGGTGATGCGCTAGTTGCTTGTCCGGGTATCGCGCAAGATGCAATACGAGCTTGGCAAATGAAGCGGCTGTGAAGGAACGGCAAGAAGGCAAGAAGGTCGAAGAGTACTGGAGGAAGAGCTTCGCAGCACCGTGTAGATTACAAGAATGATCAATGATCAAACGATGCCCGCCTGCTTCACGAACAGCGACACTAAACTGCATGATGTCGATTCCCAATCCATCTGCCAAGGCATTAGAGGCCGCCATTTGGCACTAGTCCCTTTTCGCTACCATTGTGCACATTGCTGTGCGCCGAGGGCGGGTGCATATCTCGTACCTCGTACGGGATACGAGTTACTCATAGCAGAAGCGGCAGTGCTACCGCACGTGTGACGCTGCTGTGTACTCCTTGCCGAAGCTTGTCTCTGCGGAAGGTCCAAGCATCGTGGGTTACATAAGGGAAGCAAAGCAATACAAGCTACAGCAGATAGGTGGGCCTAAGTTGGGGTTTAGGGCCTAATTAGGGCCTCTCTCTCCGAAAGCCCGGGGGTCTCACTCCTTGACACCATGTTAACATGCTACATATCTTGGTACTTGGACGCCGTGGTGGCCGTGGTCTTCAACAGTCAGATGCAAAGTCCAAGACTGGCAGATGGTCACAATGACTGAGAACAAACAACCATCGCCGGCGGGAGCTGGGACAGAATCAGGCCTTATCTACCGCACGGCGGAAGCGCAAGAAGACGACCTCCTCTCAAGAATCCTCTGCAATGCATTTCTTCCGCTATGGTGAGTACGTATGCGACGAAGGCTGTAACCACGATGAGCGAGAATGAGTGACTTCCCTGGATTTATTTTTCAAGATCTACTTGCACCAACGCTGCTAATACTTGCACCGCGCCCTGCAGGAATCACAACTGGTTCCATGGTGTATCTCACCCGCTGGAGCCCGTCACGATCGGCACCGTGGACAGCAATCCACCGATGAGCAGACTGCAGAGATCACGAGTGCGCTTCTACCTCGGCTTGATCAAGGTGACCAGACTGATAGGCGGGAGTGTGCTTGTCGCGGAAGTCCCAGTCACGGCCACGGGCATGGCCACGGAGAGAGACTCAACTAACGCCACGAGCGCGACGCGTGAAATCGGCGCCGTTCTCCTATGGCTGCCTCCGTCGAAGCGACTCGGCGGCCTGGGCATCCCTACGCTCTGGCGCTCAGGCTTGCTCTCGCTCATGCTCCCCTGGCACTACGGGCTGACGGGTTTCTACCGCGTCGAGCTCGTCTTCGAAGCGAACATTGCCAAAATGTGGAGTCGGACGCTTCCGGACCTCCCGCCGCGAGGCGTCAAAGAGAGCGAGTGTGGCTTCGTCCAGATGATCGCCAGGAATCCCAAGTACTCCCGAAAGGGGTATGCTTCAGGACTGCTAAAGTATCAGATGGACCAGCATTTCGCAGAGTTCCCCGACAGGCCGGTGCTCCTGGACACGACGACCTTGGAGGGCATCAGGGCGTACGAGCGGTTGGGATTCAAGTTGTTGGCCGAGACGCCCGTGGACACAGGCACGGACGCGACGGGGATGAAGTTGACGAAGGATGCGAGCGAAGAAGTCAGAAGGGAAGCACAGGAGATTTGTGTCCAGAGGGTGATGGCGCGGCTTGCGGGAGGGAGTCACTAAAAGTGGCAGGGAGGGAACAGCTACATTTTGCGACCACGCCTGGAGGCTCTAGATGCTGGGTGAGGAGACCCGGGGCGAAGATTGTTGTGCCAATTCATCATGTTTACCGCGAGCGATACAGAAGTTTGGTGGGCACGTACCCTCCGGAACCTACAACATCAGGCTGTTCGTCATGGCCGTGCCTGTTGAACTCCCATGATGTCTTCCTCGGTCGATACCACTATCCTCGTTAATTGACCGAACGTTTGATATGCAGCCACGGCGAAATAAGGCCAATGCGATGCTTCCTTCGCCCCATGTCTACTCAAGCCGCAACTGTCGATGACCTCCCTCGGAGTCGCCTCAAGCGCCCCATATGATCGCCAAATTACGGACGTAGCAACGATCAATGAGCCAAGAGCCTTGATTCGAGACCGGCCTGAGGCGGAAGCGGAGTGGGAAGCCTTTGGTATGATCACTCGATTCTACAAGATCCAGCCATTTGACTTGCTCGTTGCAGTCCCAGTAACATGTAGAGCTATCCAGAAGGAAGTGTTCCGGGCTCGGACGCCTAGACTTGCCATCAATCCCAGTGTTGGCGCGCTGTCGTCGAGTCATCTGAGTGTTAAGGGAAGAGGACAGGCGGCCGCCAGGCCATCAGATATCTTCCAAGCGCTAGTGAGTCCCCCTGGACGTATTGGAACCGCTTGAGCTGGTCTCCAATGTCGAGATATCATGTGATTTACGGTTTAGGTTATTGATGAGGCGCCCCTCCGCGACGGGCCCAACGTATCTGTCTCTGACGACGTAGTGGCTCCAATCACGAGGCTCCGAATGAGGGCGACAGGTGCCTAATAATGATGGCAGAGCTGAAAAGTGCATGCTGTAGCGTAGCAATGGTTAACAGCTGGTAGTAAGTAGTAGGCTCCATGAGGTGGTATACTCGCCAAGTCCTTCCTGAGACGGCCTTCAGGCCTGCTAAGGCTGCCCGTGTAGCTTCTGAATCATTGGCTGTAAATTGTGCTAGCTTGGCTTGGCTCCAGCTATACGAGCGGGAGGTATCAAATGAAGGACGACTTCTTCAACGGTGTTAACGGAGCGCCCGCTACCTGCCTGTTCAGGGTTAGCTGAGGAGAGGACATAAGAGGCGCTATCACGGAAAGCAGGAATGGGTGTTTCGCCAATCGATGCCAGGGATGCCGCAAGGCGAACCAGGACTGTCTTATTCCAAGATTCACTCAGAGCGCGTGGACGAACAGGCTCTAGGTGCTGAGATGTGCTCAAGAAGGTCGTCAATAGCATGCAGAGGGCTAACAGAAGTACTGCCGGACTATCGAGATGGTTCAGGCCTCCATGTCTTGCCCGCTCGTGCTGGCAGCCCCAGGCCCCCAGGCTTACTCCGTAGTTGTGAATTGTACACCGTGTTCCTCGTAGAGGCTCACTCCTCATTCGTCATCAATGTTATGCAATGGCTGAACATCCAACCATTTGCAGGGACAAATCGCGGCACTGAGACGCTTCTATTCCGCGTATAGCTGATGCAAGTTACGACCTTGCGGGGACATTACATGGATCAAGATGGAAGGCATTGCATGGCCGGAAAGATGTTCTATAAGAATCCCACATGGGCAGCACCAGTGCGCGGACGTGCTCACGGAGAGAACCACTTGAGCCGCGACAACCACAAAACCGAGTTGAAAAGCACCGTGACAGACCGAACCATTCCTCCCAAGTCCCCGTCTTTAACGCTAATCGAGCCTCGAGCTCAATCATCCCGAATGGCTTCCACAAAGGACACGTTCGACTATATCGTCGTCGGCGGCGGTCTTGCCGGCTGTACATTGGCTTCCCTCTTGCCCAAGTCGCTGGCGTCGACGTCTGTCCTTCTGATTGAGGCGGGCGCCGACGTGTCGAAGCACCCACTGACACAGACACCCATGGGTTGTTTCGCCGCCCATGGCTCTGAAATCGATTGGAACTACGAGACCGTTCCTCAACCGCACCTCAACAATCGGAGTCTGTACAATGGCGCTGGGAAGGCACTAGGTGGCAGTACCGCCACCAACTATGGAAGTTGGACCCGAGGCTCAAGATTCGACTACGACCGGTGGGCTCAGGTTGTGGGCGACAGTCGGTGGGGTTATGACGGGCTGCTGCCTTATTTCGAAAAGATCGAAAAGGACCACATCACAAATGTGGCTGTTTCGAAAAGCAGCCCAAATCGCAAACACCCTTTGCGCGAAAGGGTGTTGCAGGCATGGCTCGATCTTGGACTGGAAAACATTTCCAGTGCCAACAGCGGCGAACCCATCGGAGTCGGAGAGTTTGTTGAGAATTGGCGGGACGGCAAACGACAGCTTGCGAGTAGTGCTTTCGACTTATCCAACGTCACTGTCATGACTGAAACGGTTGTGCAGAAGGTTGTGCTTGAAGAGCAAGCGGGGAATCTCACCGCCACAGGAGTGGAATTGCATGATGGAAGGCAATTCTCGGCCACCAAGGAGGTCATTCTCTCGGCCGGGGCATATCGCACACCGCAACTTCTGCTGCTGAGTGGCATCGGACCGGCCGAAGAGTTACAAAAGGTTGGTATCCCGGTGCAACTGAACTTGCCTGCAGTTGGGAAAAACTTGCACGATCACCTTCTTCTTGGCTTTGCGTTTCCACTCAAAGATCCATCAGCTGGTTTTGCGTTTGGGGGCGCGGCAGGTCCATGGGCAGACCCAGCATATCAATTGGGCCTTCCTGGAGACTGGATTGCGACTGAAAACGTCCCTAACTCGGTTTTGGAGGGAGCGGTGGAAGCCGACGCCATCGCGGGTCCTGACCAAGAAAGCCGGAAGTATGCGAGCTCTCTTCTTGATTCTCGCGCAGCGCACCTTGAGACGGTCATCATCTACGTGCCTGGAGGTCAACCACTCACGAACACGCACGTACCGTTTGATGGCACACATATTGGTGCTGTCGTGTCGGTCATGTCGCCCACTTCACGTGGCCACATCGGCATATCGTCAGTTTCGGCATTAGACCCACCTGTCGTTGACCCACAGTACAACCAAACGGAGGTCGACCGGGCTTTGATGCGCTATGGCATACGGCGCTTGCTGAGGCTTGCTCGAATTTCTCTGGCAGATATCGTAAAGGCGGAGAATCCTCCACCACCGTTCGAGTCGTTAAGCGACGCTTCTTCTGACTCAGAAGTCGACGCGCGCGTGCGCTCAGAAGGTCGGACGTTCTTCCATGCAGCAGGTACTGCCAGTATGGGACAAGTGGTAGACACGGAACTGCGAGTTATTGGCGTCGATAGATTGCGTGTCGTCGATGCAAGTGTGCTTCCAATGCCAATTGGTGCACATCTTCAGGCCGCAACCTATGCGCTTGCTGCGCAAGCTGCAGACATATTGGCACAAGCGAGGTCGTAGAAGGTTTGGCTGGACTTACGAACGCAACCTGAATGCCGCTGTCCAGCCTGCTCGGCTGTTCATCGATTGGAGGATGTGGAAGGAGAGGGCAGCCGCAGTTGCATTTCCTCCGTCTTGTACTTCTGCAACATCAAACTCTCTTCTTCGGCCTGGTAGACCAATCAGGAAAATAACGACAGTTTTGGTACCGAGGTCCGAGTACTCAGGTCTATGTCGCTGCCCGTCCGAACCGCAAGACGTAGGAGGTGGGTGGAAGTCTCTCGCGTAGACAGGGAATGCCATGATAGCGGAACGCCCAGGAGACTAGAGCCTCGGTGGCAAGCTCGGTAAGCTTGGCGGTTTACCCCGGATTTTTGACCAAGTCGAGATCGGCAGTGGGTAACGGCAGTAAAACAATGGCTCGGAAAAGGCTCTGCCAGCCTGATTGAATCTCCTCCATGGAGCAATGGCTGTGTTGATACTCGAGCATTGGGCGGAGAACATAGGTCGCATGAAGCTGCCGCGGCTCACCCTCCCGCCAGCTTGCATACTCAGATTATATCCTTTTGGACAGTAATGAACTCTTTTCTTGGCCGGAATGAATGCTCGTCCTCTGTCTTGGCAATAGCGCGGCAGCTTCATATGATCGAGGGGGCCAAGGTGCCACGATGAGGGGTAGACGGCGGAACATGCTCGTCCAGCACACGGTTTGCGCGACAATGACTGCCAAGTCTCTTGGTTGGACAAAGTGACTCGTGTTCGAACCCTCGCCATGCCTTGGGCTTGCTGAATCATGGGATATAAGACAGGTAATGCCTTACGTGGCGGCGGGACTCAGCTCAACATACACCAGCTTTCCACTTGCAACAGCAACACAGGTGCTGTCTTTCAATCTCCTCTCTACCAGATCCGCCCTTCCTTGCAGGCATCATGTCTGGTAGTGACCAGGAGAAATACGGCGGCTCTTTTGAGCACACATCCGATGTGGCCGCCCACGATCAGCCTAGTCCTATCGATGACGCTCCTCACTTTGACAAACACAGGGAGAACAAGCTGATCCGCAAGATTGACTTTCGTCTGCTTCCAATTCTGGGAGCGTTGTACTCCATTGCACTCATCGATCGGGTCAATGTAAGAAGTTGTCTACTTCTGTACAGGTCATGGGCACTGACGGAATCAGATCTCCAATGCCCGAGTTGCTGGTATGGGAGAGGATCTTCAACTAAACATTGGCAACCGCTATACCGTGGCTCTTGTCGTATTCTTTCCACCCTACTTCTTGTTTGAGGTGCGGGGACATTCTGGATCAGCCCGTCAGTGACCATGCTGACCAAGTTGCAGCTGCCGTCAAATATCGTTCTCCGCCGCGTTGGAAGTGCCAACTGGCTGTCATTCATAGCCTTCTCATGGGGTTGCACAATGCTCGGCCAGGTTAGATTTTCCCTGGTGGTGATCTGCGAATTGGCGCTCATAAGAGGACTAGGGATTTGTCAAGTCGTATGAAGCTCTCGCTGTGTGTCGCACAATACTTGGACTCTTCGAAGCAGGTACGGCTGACTGCAATCGTGCTTTGCGCCGTACTGACTGCATCATCACCAGGATTCTTCCCGGGGTGTGTATACCTTATCTGTTGCTGGTACGTTCGATATGAGGTGCAGAAGCGGTACGTGTCACAAAGACAATCTGAAGGTTGGGTGTTGACCCCTTCAAGGCTCGCGTTTTTCTACATCCTTTCCGTGCTCGTCGGAGGCTTTTCCAATATTCTGGCGTATGGTCTCATGCAGATGGAAGGAGTCGGCGGCCAGCGCGGATGGCAATGGATCTTTGTGAGTGTAGAAGAGCTAGCTCGTTGATGGCCGGTTGGAACTGATTTGAGGCAGATCATCGAAGGTCTAATGACAGTAGTTGTCGCCATCATCGCATGGTTCATCATTGTCGACTTCCCCGATAAAGCTGAGAAGAAGGGTCTCTTGAGTCACGAGGAGGCTGCATTCATCGTGCGACGGATTGAGCTCGATAGAAATGATGCCATTCCCGATCCTCTTACCTGGGCCAAATTCTTCCATCATCTCGGAGACTGGAAGCTCTGGACGTTGTGAGTTGATCGCCGGACCCTTCGGCAAAAGTGTTCTGACCATGGTAGCGCTTTGATGTTCATGTCAACGACTATGCCGGCATACGCCTTTGCATATTTCACCCCAGTCATCGTCCAGGTATGTATCACCCTCCGGCTCTGAGACTGGGGCTAATTCGTGGTAGGGTATGGGATATACCGCAGGCATTGCCAATCTGCTATCGGCACCTCCAGTTGTCACAGCAGTATTCAGTGCTTTGGGGTTCGCCTGGATTGGAGATAAGTATCACGTCCGTGCTCCTATTATTGCAGCCCAGGCAGTCATCGTGATAGTCGGCTTGATGATCACGGCCTACCACAGCTCGGACGGCGTCAGATACTTCGGAATCTTCCTCGGCATTGCTGGATGCCAGGGAAACATTCCGGCCATTCTGGCATACCAGTCGAACAACATCCGGATGCAGTCCAAGAGAAGTGTAGGCAGCGCGCTCCAGATTGGGTTCGGCGCGATCGGCGGCATCATCGCCTCCACTGCTTTCACCCAGAAGGAAGCTCCCTACTACAGGAGCGGACTGTGGGCCACTGCCGCATTGCAGTTCTTTGTTCTGGGATCTGTCGCTTGCACTTCATGGTACTTCTGGAAGAAGAATAAGCAAGTGGATGCCGGGACCCTTGAGAAGCCGATTGAGGGACAAGAGGGTTTCAAGTACACTCTTTAAGCTTAGGAGACGCACACCAGAGACTGGGGGAGGTTGCGAATGAGCTGGGTTTGGTATCCATGCAAGCGCAGATCTTTGAAGTCGTGAGACGCATATGAAAAGGAGGAACGTATCTCGGACTTCGCATTCAAGGGAAGAAAGAAGAAAGCTACACACATGTGGGGCGAGAATCGTTTTTCCAGATCACGTGCCAGGCTCCAAGCCCAAAAGAAGCGCGTTTTGAGCATATGGTTCACCGCATAAAATTGTCGGGGAGCAAATACTCTCTACCGCGTATAATTACCCACGATGCCACCTTGAGCTTGCCCTCCAGGTTTGCGCATGGCCAGCGATTTCTTGGACAAACACATTCCTCCCGTAGGACTCTGCTCCCACCATGCCCGGGCACTGGGGCTGACGCAAGCAGACTTCCAAGTGAAGTGAAAGTCAGCGCGCGTTGTGCCCAAAGTCCCGTCTCCAAGGATGCCGAACAAGAAGTCCAAGAATGCCTCCAAGGCCCTGGGCAAGACCACGATGCCGAGCACAGCGGCCGCCGCTTCTCATGTCCCACGAATCTCGCCTCTACCAAACACGTCTGATGACTTCCGGATTAAGAACGCCGAAGCGAAGAGCCTAATAATGGCGACCCTCGTCCCGGGCAGCGAAGCGTGGAGGATTGCCGAACCCATCGAACTGGCCTCCACGATCATGAAGACGCTGGAGGCGAGATACGCGCCCAAGGACGCGGCCGGCAACCCTCTGCGCGGGAAGGATCTTGTGGCATGGACGGCCACCAACAAGAGCAAGAATGAGCTGGTCGGCCTTCTTGGGCTGGATATCTACGACGGCGCAACCTCGACGGAGTTTATTGAGGACTTCGTGGCCGGGAAGCCGATGGACAAGTACATGAATCTGTATAGAGAGAAGCTTGCAGTGGCACAGGCCAACAGGGCGAGACTGACGTCCAGTCGCCCGCCAGCAGCGGATGACCCCAGGAAGACACCAGCCGCTTCGATATATGCGGATCCATCGAAGACAGGGTGGGATGAAATGAGGCCTGTGTCTACTTCTCCACCAACCCAATCAATGACATCACCTGCTCCTCAAGCTCCCAGTGCGTCCCAGTCGCAACCGCAAGCTCACCCTCCGTTGCAGTCTCCAGACGAAGAGGACCTCCCCATCCCAGAGACATTCCATCTCCCGCCACAGCTTTCAACGTCCCCTCTCACAGCTGGCTCAAACTCCTCACGCTGGCAAGCTCATCCTGTCAAACACGAGTCCTACCTCTCCGAACAGCAGGCGACTCTCTTTGCTCATCACGACGTCGACCGCAAAAAGCAAATCCAAGTCGCAGCCACAAAGGTTCTCATGCAGAAACTCCCCACTCGCGATTTGAGGCTCCTCTGGGCTGTGCTGTATGGTGGGGATGATGCACCTTGGCCTGGGAGTTGTTCGAGCGTGATTCCTGGAGTGACTAGTTTGCAATGGGGAGGCAAGGATTACGAGATTGATCACAAAACCTGTGTCTGGAGTTGGAATAACAAGGCCGAAGAGAAGGGGTGAAATCAACAGCAGTGGCGGGATGTGATTCATCATGGATACGAATATTCAACAATAGGCCAAAAGGGGTATCGAAAATGACGCTGCAGTACTGGCTCTGCATTCGCATGGTCTTTCCAACCTCCTCCGGCGACCGGATCACGGCGATCATACAGGACCGAACTGCCCGAGCACAGTCAACAGCAAGAACAGAACCAGAACCACAGTGCCCAGACTCGGCTCATCGAACCTCCAGGCAGCACTTTTCTCCTTGATATATGTCACATTCTGCGCCATCGAGACAATATCTCTCGTGACGTGCCCGCTCTGCGCCAATTGCCTCAACTGATCCCCGAATGTCTCCAAGATCTTCGTACTCCTGCCCGCCGGACAGAAGACAACTTCAAACCCTCCACCCTGGGGAATGATAAACGTCGAAGTCTGATCATCATACGCGTAGCTGTATGCGTCGGGACAGACCTTCTTCGCTTGCTGGGAGTACAAGCTGGGGGTGCAGGAAGCGGGTGTACCGTGCTTACCGGTACAGCAGTACTTAGCTTTATTCCACTTTGCGCAGGCGCTGAGACAGGGGTTGAAGATTGGCCGCTCAATGTTGTCGTCCGGGTAAGGGTAGACTCCATCGCCTGGTTTGGTGGGCGGCGCGAGCTGAAGGGGCCAGGGGCACCAGTCTTGCACGAAGGAGGATGTGATGGATTGATCGAGCGGTAAGGGAAAGGTCGAGTTGGTGCCGAACTCGGCGTCGCTGGTGTCGCCAATTTCGGCAAGGAGAGAGGACGTCCCAATACACACTGGATTCGTCAGGTTCGGCGGAATGTCCGTCAAGTTGGGATTGCCGCTCTGCCCGAGCAAGGAGATGATGCCGACCGGGATGTTGTAGCCATCCACCAGCGAGATGTCGTAAAAGGCTTGATTCGTGGCTGATGACAAGGTAAATTCGGCGAGCGTCGCTGGTGGTTGCCCCTGTTTCCACAGAACTTGATCAGCCACACGTGATCCATATAAATTCACTCCGGTGCAGACTCGTTGATCACATCACATCGAACGATCGATCTGGGCGAAGAGTCACTCACCGCACCCGGACACTGCAAAAACATCCCACAATCGCCAGTCTGGCAGGGAGCACCACCCTGCCCGCTCGCAGGCTGAGATCCCGTACTAGGGAAACTGCAGTTTGTGCGTGCCCACACGCGCCCCTTCCAATCTAGTCCGACGGTCTGCGGGTTTGTTTCGCCAGGATTGAGAAGGAAGCCGGAGCTGGCGGGGGGAGTGCCTTCCTGGGTGAGGATGGCTGGCCAAACGGGCTCCTTACAGTTGTTGGTCACTCGGAGGGGTAGCATGGTAACTGCTTGCGCTGTAGGAAGGTGAAGGATTGTTGAAAGAAGTAGAAGGGTTGGCATGTGAGTTCGAGAAGAGGCACGCCGCGTGCTTGAAATCCTCCTTTTCCTGTTTCTCCTATTTCGGGCCGCTGAAGCTTGTGGTGACAAGATATCGCCGGCCATTGTGTGCATGCTGGGTCTGATCTTCAATGTCCGTTGTGCGTCTTTTCCCTCGATTACCCCGTTGGGTCGAACCTTAGGAAGCTCAAAGGTGAGGGATGTTGTTGCGGAACCTCCAGGCTATGTATTTCCTAGAGCGCAAGGTCAGAGGATGACAGTGAACGTCCCCTAACCAGCAGCCGTTCCCGCCAGGCCGTGCTATATCCCCACGAATCGACTATCGTGTAAGTTAATGAAGTTACCCGTTGACGGTTGGGCTAATAATGTATGCTGCGATATCCGTATACTCTGAATATAAAGGCCTGTTATGCCCACGGGCTGACCTGGTGCACATTTGTCGTTTCAGACAAGTGAGATGTCCAGATAGATGTGGAGAAGTCGCGACCAGGGAGAGGTATCTGGAAGGTGCTGCCTGACTGCTTCCCGATCGGAGCTGAGGTGTCTACGGGTATTTCAAGGTCAAAGCCACGTCCAGCCCAGCTTGAAAGGAAGGTGAGAAGGCCCAATTGTCAAAGCTTGTGTTGAAGCACTTCACCCTAGGTTGAGATGCGCACAAGTCCACGCGTTCAGGCAGTGCTTCAAACCTGCGTAGCAAGATAGCCACGCCCACGCCATGCTTGGTCTTCTCTCTATCGGTTCTGAAGCCACGATCTTCGAGGCCTGAATCCTGGCACGTACCTGGTAAGATCCATCGAAAGGCCAGTGAGGGACTGCCGGGTGATGTCATTTTTGTCCACATTCTGTGGCGCTGTGGCGGTGCAGCGCTTACCCACCCCTGGCCAGTTCCTGGCACCTCTGAGCTGCGTCACCGTACGGAGTACTCCGTAGAAGAGGCTGATACAACGAAGCATAGACGCCTAGGTACGTAAAACCTCTCAGTTGAACATCGGTGTGTCATGTAGTATCCTTCGCAAGCAACACTCTTTCCAGCTGACCGCCTGCTCATACTGTAGATCCAAGTTCCCGCAGCGTTAGCGCTTATTCACAGGGCAGTAGGCAACCAAAGCGCTTTTCTAATCCAGCAATCATGGCGAAATCAGTCGAGATCTCACCAAGTCTTTTATTATGCGACAGCATCCATTGGCGGCTAGGTCTCTTTGACCGACAGGAAGGTGCACGACAAGCATTATGGCCATGCTTGACCTTCTCCGGCTTGCTTGTGATCCGGGGCCACCCCGCATGTCGTCCCGCAATTATCACCTCCAGCCTTCCCTAGAGCCCGGGGACCGCTCGGTGGGAAGTGGGAATCTCAGTTACCAGTCCCACAATGTATACTGATTGGCATATTTGAGGTATAAATACCTACGCCGTGACGGGGCATGTAGCGGGTGAGTAAAACTCAAGTGAAAGATCGAATTCAGGATGCGTATGCTATGCTTTTGGACTCTTGCTCTGGCTTCTGTCGCAAGTACTTGCTCACCCAGGCCATTGATACCGGACCAGCATGAAGTCCAGGGATACATCCAGCGCCGAGCCGCGTTGGCCTCTACGGCCCCTACTTCGAAGACTGGACTCCGGAACGTGCACATATTCAATGGCCACGACTTCCGCTCGGGCTCGTTGGCGATGCAGGACGGCAAAATCACATTCGATCTGCGCGACGTGGACAGCTGGATCGACGGCCAGGACGGGTACCTCATCCCGGGCCTCATCGACAGCCACTGCCACCCGGCGTTGATCTCGGACTTGGCCACGCTCAGTAGCTACGGGGTGACCACGGCCATGAGCATGATCTGTCCGTCGTACCCGCTTTGTGCGTCGCTGAGGGATCAGCCCGGCTTGACCTCCTTCTTCACAGCCAGTGCGGGTATCATGGGCCCCAACTCGACACACGCCCTGCTTATGCACGCGGACCCGAACACCCTGATCCGTTCGGCGGCCCAGGCACCTCAATTCGTGGCCTGGGCTTTCGGGAACAATTCAGACTTCATCAAGATCATTGCCGAGACAAACGGGCCTGATCAAGCCACGCAAGATGCGATCGTGGCGGAGACGCACCGGCTTGGACGCCAGGCCATGACCCACGCTGCCGACGTACGCTCATACCTCCAGGCGATTGCATCGAGGACAGATGGGATCCAGCACACTCCTGGGGACGGAAATATCACATCGGCCATGATCGCAGATATGGGACGAAATGGTCAATTCATCGTCCCTACCACTACGGTGGTCAAAGCGTTCCTGAATAGTACTGTTGCTTCACAATCGTCGTACAACAATCAGTCTTGGCGAACTGTAATTGGGAACTTGAAAAGCATGCGCCGAGCAAGGCTGCCGCTATTGGTAGGAACAGATGCTATCTCTGAGATGGACCCTTTTGCAGCCTTGGTCAAGAACCCTCTGGGGAGCACCGTGCATGATGAGTTGGAAGTGTTTGTGAATGAGGTCGGGTTTGAGCCTGCTGAGGCACTAAGGGCTGCAACGTCTCTACCCGCGCGACTCTTTAGATTGGCTGACCGGGGACTGATCATGGACGGGAAGCGGGCGGACCTGTTGCTGCTGGGGTCGAATCCATTGAAGAACATTTCAGCAACCAGGGATATTATGAAGGTGTGGAATGGAGGGATCGAATTCAGCTCTGCCACATGACCTGTTGCACGACATGAACATAGCACACCACTGGGGTGGATGAAGGATCCACTGACCCAGAACCACTTGGTTGGCCTAATACATATCTGGTGAACCTCTAGTAGCAACCTGCATACCTATAAGCCTCCGGCATGTTTATCTTCAGCATGGAATCGGCCACTAATATGAGGTGGTCGGACCGAGATCCAAACGGAAGGAAGGACATTGTGAGATCTGCACTCGAAGCACACCGGCCACATTCTTCGTGAGAAATTGTCAATTTGTAGAGCTGGAAAAAACTGTCCGAGATATTCGTTGGTATACGGATCCAGTCGCTGGGGCCCCAGATTCGGCATTGTTGCGTTGTCTGACAGCTTGCTCGTTTTCGATCTTAGTTGGCTTAGCAGGTAGGACGACCTGACAGTGGTGCTGGTAAAGAGCTCGCGAGCGGGAGAGTGCTGCACGGGCACAGTGCGACAGGTAGTGGAAGTCTGATTTCATATCCAGGTTCGTGTTCTCTTGGCGGGGCTGAGGGAGGGACTGCGAACCTCAGCCACGGACTCTCAATTAGAAGTGTTTGCATACACTTGATGGAGTGTCTTGTCACAGGACGACGAGGCTCGTGTAGCGGCAGGTGCTGTGGTGCCCGCCGGCATCTATAAGCCTTCAGCAAGGCGAGCATGACTGGCGGCAAGGCGACAACGACGGCAACGATGCCGATGACTGTTTCGCTGGAGAGAGGCATCTCATACGCGATAATGAAAGGTAAGCCCGCAAGACCTGGATGTTGCGGGGTGAAGACTCCGTGTAGTTCACCCGACTGGGGGAGTACATTTTTATGGTTCATCTCCTTCATCGTTGAGACGACTCAAGCTGGCATGTCTCATGTTAACACGGGACTCAACCCGACTGGGTCTTTACCAAAAGTGTCACCGCGGTCACCCTCATCACAAGCAACAGGCAGGAACACTGACGGCGGCGTCGATTGGCCAGTAGCAGCGATTGTGTCTGTGGGAAGAAGATTAGCCCAGTGCAAAGGTTCGTCTGAAGACGGTCGTGTGTTTTCGTAGGCTACCTGACCTGCAAAGTGAATGTGCAAGGTCGAAGTGCGCGGCAGCGCCTGTCGGGGCTCATGGAGTTCAGGATAAAGTAGACGAGATTGGCAGATACCAGAAGGACCGCATGCAGTGATGATGGTGGTGGTGGCATCTAATGTGAATAGGGTGATAGTCAAAGTGAACAACCATGCAGGCACGGACTACTCCTGGGTGACTCGGTCCATGGGGTTTTGACATTTTCGGCATTGACCACTCGGAAGTCCTGCCTCGTATGCCTGCATGCCTAGTCCCGCCTTTTGCGCTCCCCGTTACGACTAATTACGTACCTATTAGACGACGGCAAGGGAAGGCACGAAGCGGCGTCAGCGTGTGGGGTGTGTGGGAAAGCATCATCTGCGGCAACTTTGGGGCACGACCAACCACATACCTGGTACTCTTCAACGCCTTCCGTGTGAGTTTCCAGATTCCAAGTGCATCTGGGTGCACTTTCCAACTGTGTCATGCTGTGCTGAAACTCACTAAAGAGTCGCAATGGTGAGAGAATAGCTGCCTTCCAAAGGCTGCGGCTGGGTCAGCGGTTCCAGTTGCTTCGTATCCTATCTAATAGACTGTGTCTCGTGCCATGAGGAATCTGAAGGCTATACAAATTTCGACCAATGTCTTCTTGTGGTAGAGCTAGGTATCGCCATGACATGCAGATCCGCTACCACAACACAAAGATGATTCTAATATACGCCATGTGACGATGTGAACCATACAAGGACCTCTGCCGAACCCCGCCAGAGCTCTATATCCCAATCCCCGTCTGGTTCGACATGCACCCAGTTCCTATCCTTCATCTGCAGTATGCCGTCAAATGCTCTTTTGCGGCTTGAGGTGGCTATTCTCTGGTGCGGATGTTACCAGGTCAGATGACGAGGAATGTCCAAAGAAGGAGCGGCGGGTTCGTGCAGTGACATTGGGTGCCGAAGAAGAACTGGGCTTGGACGAGCGACCAAGACGCTCGGATTGCTTGCTGCGGCCACTGTCACATAAGAGGTGTCAGCGATTGGCGTCGCTGTTGCAATGAGCGGTTCCTACCTTGGGGGAAAGGTCTTGTGGCTGTCGGACGATCCTCATACATAGGTAGGCTGTGCTGTCTCGTCCGATGTTGATACGCTTTCACAAGGCCCAGCACGACGGGTGGGATGGCAACAACAACAGCGATGATACTGACGACGGTCTCCGCAGAGAGATGCATTGCAGGTCGACCATGGAAAGGTGGAATTCAGGCAGACGGTGCGGATGAGACTTGTGAGCGAAAGTCGGAAGGCAAGGACGAAATCGCGTCCTTATTTATCATCCATGACCCTCTCTTGCCGTGCAAGTCTCCCACATAGGACATATTTCTCGCTCGTGTGGATACAGAGGGTCGCCAACCCCAGATCGCATGGTGTCGAAAGTACGGCGCGGATCACGGTTACTGCTGGGTCTGGCTGGGTCATGGTGCCTGGCATTGATATGTGCCCCGTTGTCGGGATACAATTAACGACGACGTCGTGTCTGGATGGTAATTGGAACGTCTCAGAGGTTCGATCTCTCCACGTACTGTGAGAACGCCTGCGCCGACTCACCAGAGAAGAGGTCAGGCAGGCTATTCGCCGAAAGGTGATCAAGCTGTGGGAGACGAGCTGCTCATCCTCGTATTGGTGGTGTATGAAAGTTCTCCCCACCACGACCGCACACACCCAGCACGTATATTATCGGATAGCAGTGTGGAATCGTGCCAGGCACGCAGGTTGCCCAGATGGGGGCAGTGCAATCCGGTCGGACGCGCTCGCTTGGCCCATCCCCCGGAGCACTTTCGTCCTGAACCAGTCACAGAGCTCCTCGCCAAACAGCGGGTCCTGGTTAGGCTTCTTTGGGCTCTGGATCTCCGCGTGCCTTACCGCTCCATGTCCCGATGATTGCCCGTTGGTCGGCACCTACGGAGTATGCACCCTGAACTTAATTAAAGTGCTTGCAGCAGATGCAGCCTCGACTCACAGCACGCACACCAGTGACACTACAGCTTTAAGCTACGTAGCCTCTTACATACTGGTAGCGGACTTCCGACAACAACCAACCATTTTTTTTCCCCAAGAACAACATCGAACAGCCGCACGGCTGAATGCAATGACGAGAATGTTTCTAAGGATGCCTGATCTCTGCGCAACCAGTGACTTCCTGAAATTCACCATAAAGCGCGTCCCTTGGAGGCGTACTGAGGTTCATGGTCTCCTCCTGTGCTCGTGTTCGAGCCGTTCGTCTTCTTGCGCACGGAGACTTCCGCACTTGATAGCTTTGAGCATGCGGTGCCTGCACTTCTCGAGTTGAGCCCGCAATGTCCGCAGCCGGACTTACCATCCCACGGTCACAATGGTTGGAACACCAGCAAACCATCCGTGATCTCTATCTCACCCAAGGCCTCGAATTGAAAGCCGTTCGTCAATACCTCATCGACCACCGCGACTTTTCTGCAAGGTATCGAGACCAAATCCATTTCCAAAGCCTTCGCTGACGCAATTGCAAGAGCATACCACAGTATAAGCGAAAACTCAAGGAATGGAAATATGACAAGAACCTCAAAGCCTCTGTCTGTCGAGCCATTGGGAGGGGACTGGAGCGGCGTGGCCTGACTCACGATACTGCAACCGCAACTGTGGGAGATGTCGTTCTGAGCCCCGAGCGCCTGCAACGTGCTTTGAGAAGACACGACATTTCTACCTGGGAGCGCAAGTGCAGTCTAGGCAAGACGCATCGGTGAATCTCACAATGCTCTTGCTGACGTGGCTCTAGAACGACGGTCTCCAACTCCGGAGGGCGTTCTGATCCAGAAGAGACCGGACTCTACCAATTTATCAAGCTCGCCCAATGCCGTCCCGCCTGCTCTATCGGCAGCAGATGCTACCCAACGCCTAAGTTCAGATTCAGCTACAAGGCATAGAAGCACGGAACCTACAACTCATCAAGAACCAAGTACCACCAACGCCTTCGTGTCTCGGGCCCATCACAGTGAAGCAGACCATATAAGCCGAAAATCCACCAATGCATCGGCCACAGCAAGTTCGCCAAGCTCGAGCGGGCGGTCAGGACCGGGGCAGATACCTCTGAAATGTCCCGATTGTCACTATTGGGCAAACACGCCATTAGAGTTGAAGTGAGTAGTCGTATCTTCCACATGCCTGCAAACCGCTAAGCAATGGTTAGTCAGCATCATCTTGAACACGAGACTCAGCATACTTGCGGGATTTCATCTTGCCCCCGGAGTAAGCGAGGTTTTGCCACAATCCATGAGCTCGAAAGACACCTGCAAAAAGGACACATCAAAGATCGAGCAAAGTATAATCCCTTCTTCAAGACGGCATGCATCAAGTCGGACGAGAAGAGGTACCATGGGAAGATTGTTGAAGAGCATCTCGCTCAAGTACATGGAGAATTTGCTCATCCCTATCTGCCTGAACAGTAGGACTCTCCGAGCTGAGTTTGACAAAATCTTACTAACTGTTCAAAGGTCTGCCGCCTGGTTTCAACAAATTGCACAGTGGAGGCTCGACGCAAAATTCGATGATCTGAACATAACTCCCCCTACCGCCCAAAGCACCTTCCAGGAAATCGAGTCAATGCTTAAGCACGGTGCGGACGTGAACGCGATTGGAGAACATGGCTCTGTGTTCGAACGAGCGTTTCTGGCTCGCAATCAGAAGTTGCTACGCTATCTCCTCGAGCGCGGCGCAAGGCCCGAGGTCCAATCGGATATACGCGGCAGAACAAGTATTGAGATCGCCATCGACTGGAGAGACTTTGAGCTCGCGAAACTGTTGGTCGAGCACTGTGCTCGTGCCAACCTTCTACTTCCCTGCGACTGTGTCGATGCATTTGCAATGGCTTGTCGCACCAGCGACGTAACGATGGCCAAGATGCTCATTGATTACGGGATGGTTGTCAACGCCCGTTTCCCTGGTGGACATACACCTCTTCAAGTTGCCTGCTGGGAGGGAACTGCTGAGATGGTCAAAGTCTTGGTGAAGGCTGGGGCGGATGTGAACGCCCTTTTCTCTAATAAAAATACACCTCTTCAACACGCCTGCTGGCGACGAAACGTCGAGATCGTGAAAGTCTTTGTGGAGGCTGGGGCTGATGTGAATGCCTTCTTCTCTAATGGGCTTACACCACTCCAATACGCCTGTCTGTGGCAACGTGCTGAGATTGTGAAAGTCTTGGTGGAGGCGGGGGCGAATGTCAATGCGGACGTGCACCCTTACAATGGTTTTACTGCCTTACAAACAGCTGTCAGCTGGTTCTCTCGGGATATTATGCGAATACTTCTCGACGCAGGAGCAGATGTTACAGCTCCAGGCTCGATTACTGGCGGCTCTGCTCTCAAGTTGGCGGCCGAAAAGTGCAACATGGATATGATGAAGCTCCTACTTCACCACTGCTATCGGTCGAAGCAGGCCGCGTCCTTTCAAGCAATCTGCAGTAAGGCATCCAGATACGCAGAGCAATATGGCCATTCACGGATGTCTAAGGCTCTACGCAGTCTCGCGGAGGGCGTTTTCGACCCTGAGCTGCTCCGCAGTGCTGGCATGGACACTGCCTTCTGGCGCCAATGTTTCCCCCCTAGGGTGGACTTGCATCAGCAGCGAGCGCAGCCTTGACTTTCTCGACAGTACGGCTGGCAACTGCCTCCGCGAAGAGCACCCGATCCTCAACGCATTGGAGAGTCACCACCACGAAGAAACTACCAGCCTCTAGCTCCAGCTGTCAAGATATCCTCATCCGTGAATGGGGATACGTTGAGCACAGCATGACGGCGTCGAGATCGAGAGCCACTCGTTCGATGCCTTGCTCATCCCTCGACACCTCGATAGGCCACAGCCTTCCTCTGGTCGTATCGCATACACGGACGCCTGGCTTGTCTATAGTCACGTCGGATCTCCGCAACGCACTATGCTTCCAAAGCAGTCGTTTCTGGCCGTGCAGCCAAAGTTCCACCAATCTCTCACGTATTCCCTTGCCTGTTCACTTCACCTCGTCGACATGCGGAGGACCGCAGTGCATGCATCGGGTCGACCAAGTACGTTATGTTACATTGATGCCTGTATATGTAGGTATGTAGGGGTGTAGGGAGATGACCACTTGGCATGCTTGCATTGGATTGTCCTGACTTGCTGTACTCTACTGCCATATCATAACCGCGGCTCGTTGAGAGAGAAGACCATTGACACAGGCATACTTGACGTGGATCGAATGAGACAGGACGGAAGGACTGGACGATCGTATATATCAGTCAAACTCGGTGGAGGACCTGGCCTGACGCGACTCTTGAAGACGGGAGTGAATATTGACAATCGGAATGGTAGTTGTAATTTCAAGAATCTGATCAACATCAAGCAAGGGGTATCTGTTCGTAACATGTCCAAAGTGGCATCACGCGTGTCCTGTCCTTTCCTGTCCTAGCTCGTTCTCAAAACGGCCGCGGAAATCCAATCCCATCCATTTCAATCACATCCATTCGATTCAATTGAATCCAAATAGCAACCGAAAAAGCCATCCATCCCCATCCATGCATTCGCGCACACCTCGTCAACTCGCTCGCGATTCTCCGAGATTTCTGCAAGACCATCAAAATCTCAAGACCTCACGACCTTGGCTCCCGAGCTCACAACCACAAACTCGACGTCCCGACCCAGTGACCGCCATCGTTCGATCCCCCCGCTGACAAGCCACGGCTGAAGGTTCTTGCACTGGCTGACGTCGAAGAGCTTGAGTTTCTGACACCCCTCGACCACGGACTGGACGCCCAGACCGGTCACGCGCACGCAGCCCCGGACGGCGAGTTCGCGCAGGGAAGTAAGATGCAGGCCGATGGAGCGGAGGGAGGGGTCCGAGACGGCGCTGCCGCAGAAGGAGAGGTTCAGGTGCGTGAGGTTTGGGCAGCCGAGCGCGAGGACTTCAGTTGCCGTGTCGGACAGGGCACAGCAGAAGGACTAGGTATTCGGACTTGACGTTAGTTGGCTGTTTTTTACTGTCACACTTGCTCACGTGGAGTTGTGTGTGCGCTAGAACAGTAAGGCCGGAAGAAAAGGGAAACAAAATCGGAAAAGGACATGCGACATGACTCACCAAATCGAGCTGCCTCAAACCGCTCCCCGCGCCGTTGACGAGCCACACGATGCTCTGGTCGCTCAGATACGTGCAGTCGGCGAGGCAGAGCTTCTTCAGGCGCTCGAACTTGACGTTGCCCCAGAACTGGAAGCCCGCGTCCGTGATGGTCGTGCAGCGCGTGAGGTCCATGGCCTCGATGCGTGCGTGCGCGTGCGTGGCGATATGCGCCATCGTCCGATCGGTGATGTGTTTGCAGTAGCTGAGCGTGATGGAACGGAGGTCCGGACAGCCGATAACGGTGCCCGGCGCGGGCTGCGGAGGGGGAGGTGCCGCGTTGTTGCCGAGCTTGGTGTTGACGACGGGTCGTTGGGCGTGGGTTTTAGTGCGGTTCGAAGGAGCTTGAGGTTGGGTCGTCACGACCCAGCCGACAATGCGGGCGAGGAGTGTATCGCTGACTTTGCGGCAGTTGCTGAGGTCGACTTCCTTGAGGCCGCGAGCTCGGGTTGCCATCTCGAGGATCGCCGGCGCGGTCACATCCCAGACGCTCTTCATGCGCCAGCCCTGCACTGTTGCGGCACACGTGTTGACTAGGGCAGCGAATCCCTCGTCGGTGATATGGAAACAGTTGCTGATGTCGATGAATCGGGGCCGCTGGCCCACAAACGGACATATGCGATTGATGAGCACATCGTCTGTGACTCTCCGGTTGTAACGCGATAGATCGAGGTGGTGAAGTAAATTGGGGTCACTATTGACAACGTGTTGCCAGTGCAGGGACACGCCTTGCAGACGCATCAGGTCGTGCAGGTCGAGATACTCAAGAATCAACGGGAGGACTTTTTCGGGAACAGTCCCCCGGTTTAGACCGCGGCTCGATCTCGCTCGAGGCTTGGGTCGTCCACCGAGGGCGAAAGGATCCGAGAATGGAAAGCCTGTAAAGCCTTTATACTCAGAAGTAGGCGATGGTGTGCCAGAAACGGAGGTCTTGGGCGACGGACTGGTCGTGTTGGTAGGAGATGATCGAGGAGACCGACGTTTCTGATCTTTTGAAGGTTCGTCTGGGGGCGGAGGAGCAAGCGACCCTCTTCTTGACCTTGATTTTACTTTCTCTAGCCCCTCGCTCAGGAATGGATCCGGGTCGGACGGCTCCAAGGTGCTGGGCTCTTCTATCTGTACCGAGGGCGCCGAACTGGGGATTTCTGCTCCCGCGTCTGTGAATGTGACCCGAGGACCATTGACAAGTTTTCTGGTCCGCCTCTCTCTCCCGTCTTCAATTTCCAGTTCGCGGATATCTGGCGCGGCGTCTGCATCCTTCATAGTCACGTCAACATCGAAGCTGAGTTTTAAACGATGCTTCGCCGTCTCTTCAATTTGGTGCAGAATGCTAGGTGGGCATCGGTTCCAGAAATCGGCGAGCACATTCTCAGAAATCATCAGGCACTCAACTTGTGTGACTGAGCGGACAGTAGCAGTTCGACGATCTGCAAGACCCCGACTCACGACCTCGCCGAAGTACTGTCCCGGCCTGAGTCGAGCCTTGACCACTGGCGGTCGGGGTATTCCGTTGGGTTGGCCGGATTTGCGAAGCCTGGGGCTCGAGACTTTCCTCTCGTCTAGCACTTCCACTTCGCCCCGGACGATGAAATAGATTTCGCGGCCCCTCGTGTCTTGCTTGACAATATCGGTGAATGGCGCAAAGCTTCTCGGCTGAGCGCTAAGACCGAGAAAGTGAAGAATATCAGGAGGGAGAGAAGCGAACAACGGCAGCTCCTTCAATGTTGCTCTGATATTGACAAGTCCATGTCCCAATGCACTGGCTGTGGACACCTCGGTCGTCCCGGGACTAGGAGATTTGCGGCGCTTGCTGTTCGCGCTGCCATCACTGCCAGCCATATAAGCATCGTCTCCTAGCGTAGGTCGGGCTCTTTTAGAGCCTCTTCTCTCATGGTCTGGGACGTCCTCCGTTCCCAGCAGGACCTGGGCCTTCTTCTTTTCCAGCTGAGTAAGTCTCTCGAGGGCTTCTTCGCGTATGGCCTGTTCCACATCTGAATATTTCGGCAATATCTTCTTGAGGTCTTCCTTCTTCAGCACAACCACCATGCATCTCATTCGTGCAACAACCGTCGCAGTGCGAGGGCGTTCCATCAGTATCCCGATCTCTCCAAAGAATGCACCCGGTTTCAGCTCCGCAAAAATACTCTCCCCATCCCGGGAGGTCACAGCCACGGCGCCCCGAACAAGCCAATACATCGCTTTTGCGTCTTCACCCTCTATCATGATATAGTCATTGGTGTTGTACAACTGGGGTTTGAGGAGCAGGCCAATGTCGGCGAGGAAGTCATCGGAGGTGGATTGGAAGAGGGGGAAGGAGCGAATGCGGTCGATCAAGTCCAGTGGCATTCCCCCAATTTGAGAGGTTGCCAGAGGAGACTGTCTTGCAGGTCTCGATGGGTTGATTTTGGAGTCAAAGCTGCGAACCAAGGAGACTTCTGCGGAGGGAGGGGAGGCCGTGCGGCCATGGTAGGGCGACAGTGCTCGGCCATGGTGTCGGCGCATGGTTGTGGAAATGAGAAGTGGTGGGCTGGTTGTGTCTGAGCGCGTGTCCACCTCAATGAACTGCTGCTCGTGACGGGGTGCCCCTCATCCCATGTTCCTGGACATACTCCGCGACCTTTGTTCTCGCAGCGTCAGGTACCTCATTCACAATAAGTGGGAAGTCAAGCCTTGCCTCTTGACCGACAGATGTGCCTTTGCTGGGGTTCCACCAGAGTGTCTGCGACCTGCTGGCGTAGTAGCCCAAGTTTTGAGATGGCACGAGGCCTGGACCACACAGCAGCAGCGTTTCACGGATGTACTGGGACGAGGTCGGGCCGTTGCAGATCGTGGAAGGCAATCGGGAATGGATGGGAGTGGAGCGTGGACGCGGAACAGCGATCTTGTGCAAGCAACCCGGATTGCCGAAGTAGAAGAAAGCTGAAGCGGTGGAAAGTGTCGCGAAGTGCTTCCCACATCCGACAGAGGATAGAACCTGGCGCAGAAGCGAGGGCGGAAGCAGTCCAGAGACCTGCATCTGCAGCCGGGAGGTTTCACGCCTGAAGATTGGACAGGACCGAACTGCTTGCTCTGCCGTCTCCCCCCCAACTTTGGTGGGCGGGCGTGGTGGGGAACCGCGTCCATCTCGGTGAAGCCATGGCTCCCCGCTAACAACCTTGAGAAGGGGATTAGAAGACGGCAAGACGGGAATGCAAAGAGTCGGGGCACTCTAGACGATCAGTTAAATTAAGCTGACGAGACCAGCAGCACTGGTCGTCAACTTCGCGGCAAGCGCAGGAATATCCACCATCTGTGTTTCTTCTGGATTGTTGATACGGCCGCCTTTACCCCGCGAGACACCGCTTCGTGGCATTATTCCTCCTTCAGGCGTGAGACAGAAGTAGACAGACACGACAGACCAGTGATTTTACTCAAAAAAGAGCGGGAAATGCGCGCAAATAGAAACCCAGCATTCTCCCAAATGGCGTCTCGAGGGTTTCACGACCACGTCTCCTATCCAGTCCTACCACTTCAGAGGATTGGGGCCGCCTGGGAGCAACAGATCGAGTCGAAATGACCAGCACGCCAGCAGGTTCGAAGTGATCACCAAGATGGCGCCATCTTGACAGGCTTGACAGCGAAGGGAGTTTAGGTAAGGAAGCTGGTGTTACTGTAATCGGTAAGCGACCCAACCCTACGGCGGCTGGGTGGGCACATGTGGCACTGTCACTTGGGAAATCTCAGGGAACGGCCGCCGGACCACAGCCCAGAATGCCAAACACGGCGCATGAGCCTGCGCAAAGGGCAGCTTGGACTCCATCAGCCCTACCCGCCGGGCGAGTAGGCTTACCGCCCGAACGCCCTGCGCAGACTGTCCGGCAGCGCTAGAAGCCGTCCAGAAACACGCTAAATTCAGGGGTCTCTCAAAGCCTAAAGCTGCAATTTCCTGGCTTACTGTAGGAGATACACGGTGCGTGCTCGGAATTCTTCAATGAGCGATGTTCAACGTTCAACATGACATTTCCTCTCTATCTACCCTTTCCATCTCGACAACGATGCCGGATGTGGAGATCAGACTTCCATCCGCCTGTCTATCTCGGCTCCCGCCTCTGGACCGTGTGGTCTTAGCTCTCATGCAACACGCTCAAGCCTTGTCCGCAAAGCTGATGCCTCCAAGTTTCCATTCTTCAATCATTCCGTTATGGCCCTCAAGGAAGATGGGTACGAACAGTCCATCTCGTGGTGTTTAGCATCAAACTTGTGCTCTTGGAGTTCACCGAGCGTGCACCAAAACTGGCTGCTACCGATTGCTCACTTCGAGATAGTGAGCAGACCCTTAGCAATCAATGTCATCTATCGAGATGCTCAGCAAGACAAAAGGGTGGTGCTGTCTCAGTTCGTAGCCGTTTTCTTCAACCACAAAATGTAACCCGGGGGGTTGCCTCTTAGAGACGCAGCCAGATCTTGTATCACACCGTAAGCCAGCGACAATCTGAGCGCACTTCTGGCGATCCCTGCGGCGGCGAAATGATCGAGCCCTCTCTTCCAGCTGTAGATGCCGGCTACTGTCATCCCGGCGATGACCGTGCTTCCAAAGTCTCTCTGGCCAGTGGCGACATCATCGTCTCCGCGTGCAAATAGCCGAGCTCGCGAAAGGTCAACCATCTCTTCCGTGGCCATAAACAGTGTCGCCCAGCCTGTGCAGACGGTTCCAAATTTCGCGCCTTCTTTGATGCCGCCGAGCATTGCATGGTAGTTCTTGGACTTTTGATAGAGAAACCAGCCTGTTTGGGTCGTGGGTAGACGGTGTGCATTTTCCGCTCGATAACGATATGCACCTTTCGTAGCACCTTGTGACGCTCCCAGGCTGAATCCACAGGCAAAGGATGCAAGCATGAGGGTAGGAGCTCGTAGTATGAGCGGAATCGAGAGTCGTTCGTTTGGCCATCCAGTGAACCTGACAAGTGTCTCCTCCTCTTTTCCTACCGGTCCAGGCTCAAGTAGGGAGGGTTGCGCAGGACTCCCCATCGGTATGAGCGCGCCATCCTGGGCCTCATCTTGGTGGTCGACTTGAGCAGATTTAAGAGGCCACATACTCTGGCCGTGGTGTCTGAACTGCTCTCAATTTTCGAATCCAGGGCGAACCTCTCAGCCTCGACCTAAGACCTGATGCATCCCACAACGCATATTGAGCATACGTGGGTAGCGAAGCACTGGCGGAAAATACCTGTGAGTTTCCACTGTCAGGGCGGAATGGGCTAGGTCAATGACAGGTCACGCAGGTGTAGCTGAATCGCTGTGTTTCCGAATACTGCGAGCCACAGCTCCTCGGAATGCATATTTGCTTCGCTTACCGAGCCACACACCTCGATAACTTTCTATTCCTTCTTCCACTGCCCTTCGTTCCTACCACCATCAGGGCTTTTCACCATGTCCAACTTGTTACCATTCTCAAATGATTCGGCGAAGCTCACTTTCATCTGTTTTGGTCTTCCTGTCTACGGCCACCAGTCGCGACCACTAACGAAATCTCACATAGCTTCTGTTGTTCGAGCTTCCAAGAAGCTCTTCCAGAAGGTCGCTCCCAGGCGTATACGGGCGTTGGCCATACTCGGTCTTATTTCTCAGCAAGACCATTGCTTTCAAGTGTACTAGACGGCTTAAGCAGATTCGTTTCCAGGTGTTTTTGTGGGTTTGAGGGTGTAAAGGAGTCGCTGGGAACTGCTTCGGATGGGTGCCGAGACTGGCGGGCATTAGTGTTGGCATGATAAGATATATCGCGGCCTGTTACTTATTGAGGCATTGCGAGCAAATGCATACATCAACTACCTCACAACTTGTTCTGCGAGAGCTCCTAGATATCGCTAGCACAAGCTCCACAAATATCTGGTAGTAGCATGATCGGGTTCGATGATTATCGGGCAAGGCTGCGGCTCAGCCTGAGGTATTCACTTTCCCCGCACGGAGTTTTCCTCGCCTGCGACGCGCTCAGACGCGCTTCTCTGGGGGAATTTCGACAAACGCAGGCAGTCAGCAACTGCCATCGAGCTCTTCAAAGGAAGAATCGGTCGAGTCTTTTATATTCCCACTCATCTTGAGCTGATAGCATTGCCTAAAGCCCCCATCACCAATACCATCATTCGCCCAGAGAAAAGAGAACCTAATGATGGCTTCTCATGATGAGCTTGCTACGTTGCCCACGCCGGACATGATTACACTTCTCCTCAAATGCCACAAGTCCACAGTAGCGCTTTCAGTCCTCCCAACGACGCCTTTCGCAGAAATCAAACCCCTCTTGCTCGGGGCCCTTCAGTCGCGAAACCTCAGGACCTTACCCAATTCCGACACTCCTCTACCCGAAGACCCCGAAGACCTGGAGTTTGGCGTGTTGGCAGACAAGAAGGACGCCAGTAAAGGCTGGGTACCAATGTCGATCAGAGCGCAAGAGGTCACTGGGCCCCGAGGTACGAAGAAGAAGGTTGGGGGCAAAGACTCGGTCCTCACTGAGAGTCCGCTTGGGGCTGGTCTTAGTGATGGGGCTTGGATTGCATATCGTGTGAAGCCGGAGCGGAAAGAGCCAAACATTGAAGACGACGATGAAGCCGAAGACACTCCAAACTTCGACATAGACGGAGATGTCGGCTTTGATGTGGTCATTCCTAGCTTCGAAGACGAGGCTGAGTGACAGTCGACGCTGACTCATTATCACGGACCCCCAATTCTCGGCCCCAAGCTGAGAAAACAAGACAACACCGACACCATGAGTTTACATTCGTGCTGTAGCCGCCTTGGGAATGAGAGCGGAAACAACAACTTCTCACTTTCGAGGCAACTTGGACGAATGACTTCACTCACACCGTTCGACCTTTCTCGTATGAGGGCCAGGCGCGCTGCAGGTCCAAGTGCCAGTAGAAAGATGCTGTCAATTCAGTGCCAGGCGTGGAATTACTGCGCTCATACTGCTGTTGGCAGGATTCCAGTCCCCATCGAGCTTATGTACCCTCTGGCAACTGGGAATCTTAGCGACTGGTTAGTACGATTGCGAAAGCAGGCACGGTGCACTGTACAAGAAGATAATGTGCCTGCCAGCTCGACTACGAAAGACAAGTCACCAAAGGGAGACGAAAGCAAGCGGCTGCGAACACCGCATATGAGGTTGTGTTCTATATCTGGGAACGCAGCGGGATGATTACCCCACAATGCGACCGGAGGCTGACACTGGGTCAAAGCGTGGACAAGTCACAGAGTGACTATGTGCTAGGCATTGAGAGGCCAGGACTCCGAAAGCAGCAGCCGAGAGCTAGTCCCGTAGCTAGAAATCGATTTTGAACGGCAATTGGGCGAGCTTCATGTAATTAAGCGGCGTTGAGGAGAGGCTGAATAGGTGCACCTCTTGGTATCTGCCTCCCGCCCATAATCAATGATCAATCAGCCCGCCTTGAATCGGGGCAAGCATCTGCAGCTGACTCTTTGTTCAGCCCGTTCGATTGTTTCCGGCTCACTCAGTGCGCAACTCGCTGTAACTGACATCTTGTTGTCCTGTCCCCTTCGCGGCGAAGGCGGTTTCAATGCAGCGGCTATTCAAGACCAACAAGTCGCAGGCCTCGATCGAAGACCCCCAGGCTCATCAAGCTCACCCTGATCCACATCTCCATCAGCAACAGCAACAGCCCCCTCCAGGTGGCCGCCAGCAGCAACTCTACTTTGACCACCAACATCAGCCCTACTCGCAGCAGCCATCGCAACAGCATTCATCTCCTCCTGGCTCTCGCTTCCCAGGACAAGGACAAGGACAAGACCTGCACTCGCAGTCGCAGTCTCAGCCTGATTCCGGTGCCCCGCCTCATCTGGGCCGCAGCCAGAGCAGCCGCAACTCGTCGATCCCAGACGTCTATGGATCCCAGCGACCACAAGTGAACGTTGTACCTCCGCTGCTGTCTCAACAACACGACGCCTTCACCCCCGAAAGTCCCGCGCCAATTCCCGGACAGACTCTGTTCGGCAAGTCAACACAAGTCCACACCATTGAGGACAAAGAACACAAACGATCCAAACGCAACATCATCTCAAGTCTGCTGAAAGACAAGAGCAAAGACGACCTGAGACAACGAGAGAAAGAGAAGGAAAACAGCTCGCTCGAGCGCAAGCCTCCGGGGCGGTCAAGCTCAGTACATCTTCTCAGGAGATCTCATCCGCCTTCTGAGCAGCCTCCTCGCGAATCGTACTCGACTCAGACATCCCCTCAGTCGCAATACCCGCCCAGGCAGTCCGTCTATTATCCTCCACCACCGACTGAGGCTACCGACCCGCGTGCAAGCCAGGCTGTTGACCAAACCACATACGAGCAATACCAGAGGAATCAGGCTCAATTTGACTCTCCCCAGAGTCAGTTTACTCACCATTCCGTCGAATACACTGAGGACGCTCCTCATTTCAATCCGCAACAGGAGCAATACCAGGCTTATCACCAGTCCGGATCCGAGAATACCTCGGACCAATACTTGCCCTACCAACCACAGTCATCGAGACCGGGCAACGTAGACTCTGACCATTACCAACATCTCAGGCCCCCTTCACAGACATCTCTAGGCCCACCTTCACCCATCAACACTCCTGCCCAACCTCAGACCGGCGCTCCGGACTCTCGACCCTCCACAGCTGCAACCAACCGGTACTCGACGCAATCTCCTCCTCAAGCTCAACAGGCACCTCAACCGGTCATGGCAAGAGGCGACCCTCCCAACGGCGGTATCCGCCAACAGCTGTCCCAGCGCGAGCGAGGCTCCGATGAGCAGGTTCAATACCAAAGTCAAAACCAAGCCGATCCGAGAGCGAGAATGTCCCAACAGCAAGCCTCTGAACAAGGACGAAACACGCCGCCTCCTCGGAGCCGAGAAGACATTACTCAATTAGACTTTGCGTCACTTCTTGCGCGCCATGAGGAATTGCAGGCCAAGTACTCCAAGGTCAAGCGATACTACTTCGAGCGAGAAGCTCAAGTGACCCAGTTGCAGAATACTGTGGCAAATCAGCGCCTTTCAATGTCCAAGACTTCTTTAGACGACGCACAGTACACGGCCCGATTCGAGCGCTTGAGCCAAGCCATCAATAATCTCTCCTTCAACATCCGGAAAAACTGGCGTGCAATCCCGCCCTGGCTGCGCCATGTGTGCAATCAGGACGCTCATACAGTTGGGACCAAAGAAATGACTGCGGTGGGACGCGCTTGTATCACACGGTGGCTGTATGAGAGTATCTTCCAACACACGTTCCATCCCGGCATTGAACCATCGTTATCCGCGCAGTTGAAGCGGATTGAACACAATCTCCGTCGCGGAGGACAAGCTGGCGCCATGCTCACCGACGACCAGCGAGACGACTTGACGACCAAGATCACGACTTGGAGGCTCACCACTATAGAAGGACTGCATGATATGCTAGGCTCCCAGCAAGCCGAACACTACATCGAGACCATGAACAAGCATTATACCCACCAGCTCACCGAGTCCTTGAAGGCAAACCTGACGGACCCCCCGCCACCTGGACTTGTTGAGGGCGTCGGCATGATTGTCGGACAAGCCATCGGTATCGCCTCCAACATTCCGCTTGAGTCGCGCGATATCTGCATCGAATACTTCATGCCTGGCACTCCTCTGAATGAGACGTACATGAAGGTGGAGCCACAGATAGTCGCCCTCACCAATCCTGGACCGGATGAACGGATCCTGCAGCAACAGGCAGCCGACGCGAAGGCGCGGGCAGAGGCACAAGAAGGTGATCAGATGAGCACTGCCAGCGCAGACGATGGGGCCCGTGATGTGGAAGCCGAGATCCGTGAAGCTGCCGGCAAAGCGGCTTCGCAAACTGCACAGCAGCCTGGCCAGCAAGGGCGCAATGAAAGCGTGGCAAGCAACGCCAGTCAAGCAACCATCAAGGGTTCGGGTGACAAGCAATCCAAGAAGTCTGGTTTGTTCGGTGGATTTGGGAACAAGAAACCGTCCATGTCGTCGCGCGGTGGTGACCGTCCAGAAGTTGCTAACATCAACTTGTCGCGGGTCGAGGGTGAGGACGAGCGTGGTAATGTTAGGAACAGCATGGGCGTTGATCCTGTGGCCATGGTACCTCCATCTGTCGCGAACGAAGGACGCATCAGGTTTGCGGCTTTCGTAGCGGTTGAGGTCAGGGGTAAAGGACCAGGAACGGCGCCGGCAAGTAGTGCAAACAACGGCAAGGAACCGGGGTCGGCCGCGGCGGGAGCAAGTCCCCAGTCCTCGGTCAATGTCCTTTTCAAGGCGCCGGTCTATGAGTACTAGATGAGCAAGAGCGTATTGACGATAGTGGGATATAAGGCGTTTTGCAAGCGATGGTGATGTCAAGAAACGATGCAGTTATGAGTTGGCAGGGGAAGCAAAACGTTTTGGGTACCCAATTGGACCTTTCCTACTTGTTTGAGCCCTTGAGCGAAAGGGACCTGGATAAAGCAGACGAGGACGACGTGCGACATGACCGGGATCAAAACGGCGTGGGAACGTTAATCCAGACCATGTACTCCGTACGCAAGTGATGTGTGCTCGTGCGGCGGTCCTTGTGCGCGGGCGACGCTGCCGGCAGCGCCTTCACAAGCATGCTTCAGGCTCGGGAAGGCCCCTAGGCTCCGCCCGGAGGCCAAGCGAAGGCCACAGGGGGGAGCGGCTCCTCTGTTCAGTGGCTGGTTGGTGCATGGGCTGCCCTTGCCCTCGCTCGTTGGGCCGTTGTTCATCTGTGAGCATCCCTTTTTCAGCTTCCGGAATCCCATTTTCTTCTCCCCTTTCCCGATTTCCGTTTCTCTTCAGGTTGCAACCTGACAGAAAGGCGGGGTCTCTGTGGTGCCCTATGTGCGCTGGTCAATACGCTGTCGCCGATTGGCTCTGGGCCGTTCGTCGAAGCAGCCCTCATGCCATGCTTTTTCAGACGCCAACATTGCCATCTCAGTTGCCTTGAGAGCAAAATAGAGGCAAACTTCCCCATTTTGCTCTTCTCTTCTCTCTATATGGACCTGTAGTGCTCGCCGACACCCTTTGTCTCGCGGAGCTCGTTTCCACCTGGTCTTCATGCCCACGTTAACGAATAAGATTGAGGACCCATGTCAGGAATGTCGTGGTATGTCGTTCCGTCCCGCGGCCTGGGCTGGCTTGTTGACTGATGGCTGCCGAAAGACCGCCACCTCAAGTGTATGTTGACGGCATCTCCTTTTCTCTGGCCTCAAGGCAGCCTCCACACGCCATCACGTCTAGGTGCTGCAGGTGTCAGTTTCTGCACGAAGGCTGCGAGAGGTGCCACAAGGACCAGCCTCTGCTCACCACCTCCGTCTTTCATTCTCAGCCCTGTTACCATCTAGCCCCCTGGTCTACCCTTCTTTCCGAGCTGACTTCCCCAGGCGACGATAGCTATCCCAAATGCAAACAATGTGAACGGTTGGGCGAGAAGTGCCGGAGGGGAAAGGGCAAGCTCAAGTTCCGGGTCGGATCGAGCGCAAAGTACGATGCTGCCTTTGCCAAAGATCAAACATGGCTCGAGCAGACCAAAAACGGTAAGTGTGTGTAACCTGTGCACAGAGTTTTTGGTGTTCGAGACAAGAGCCGCGGAGGAGAACATGAGGTTCAAGTCCTCACCCATCCTTTATACTTCCCTCATGTACCACCGCGACCACAGCCCCCCTCCCAGCACGAGGTCTTCATCTCGTGTCACACCGCCGAGGGCTATGCTGGCAGCTGCTGTGTACCCTTCCACCCCGCTCATGCGCAAATCCCTACGGGCGGCTGGCCTATCAACTTGGATGCTGACGATGCTCTTTGGTAGCGAAATTTCAATTTGTCGATCAAGGACCCGAACTAGAGAACTACTATTCTCAGGACGATATCCTGATAAGTACGGCCAAATCAAACCGTGACGAGCAAAGACGGGAAGATGCCGCCCGTCTTCAGAAGCGGATAGAGTCTTCAGTCGAGACTGAGGTCTTTCCGACCACTCGCAGCCTACCACCTACAGAAGCTTCTACCCTTCTTTCTCCCCTCGACCTAGGCCACGAGGCTGTTCTGGTGCACTCCCCCATCAAACGAAGAAGGACAGCAGACGAGACCAGCACAGGGTTCGGGTCTAACTCGGAGCGAGCGTCCCATGCCGCTTACGACCCCATCCGTTCGCAGTACCGAATTTACGATTTTCCAAAGGTCTTTAATTCAGTCAGTCCGGACGGCTTCACATATATGCCGGAGCAAAGGCACGTTCCCAAAGTAGTCGAGGCGGAGTACCGGCGACTGGCAGATTCGGCCGCGGCGCGGATCCCGGCGGAATCGCTACTCTCTCCCACCATATGGAAAGAGGAATTCTACTGGCCGAACCAGTTTACAACCACGCAATGTGCTTGTTTGATGCGGTATTACATTGAAAACCTGGCGCCCTGGGTAGGTCCTCTACTTGGCAGAGCATGAGGCAGAGACTGACGGGGCGCAGTTTGACGTAGGAGACCCGGCTAGACACTTCACATTGGCAGTGCCCCAACATGCAAGGCGATGTCCTCCATTGCTCAATGCCATCTTTACTCTTGCCGCCAGACACCTCGCGTCGCTCCCGCATTTCAAGACCGCCGATGGGGTGATTGAGTATCAAAGCATTCGACTGCCCAAGTTGACCGAAGAGACTGCTGTGAAATACCACCAGGCGTGTATCGCGTACCTTATCAAACTGGCTACCGATCCCGAGCATGTCAGGGATGAGAACTTGTTAGCGGCTGCGGTCATTCTGCGCTACTACGAAGAGATCGATCCGTCTTTGACAGGGGGTGATATCAAGACACTGATCCACACCTTCCAGCTGTTTGTCAACGCCCAAGCCAACCCATATGCATATAGCATGGACGAGGCGAAACATACCGAGTACCTGAGACCAGGGTCGGCTGTCGGGACGTTCGACAACTGCCTCGCATACTTGAAAAGCTTTCAACATGCATCCTTCCGAGTGGCCCTACGGCAAGAAATCACGATCGCTTTTCTGAAACAACGGGCCGTCCGCCTCCCACTAGAGACCTGGAGCGTTCTGCAGGGGTTTACTAAAGCCGAGGACTTTGTCTGGTCGGATCGACACCTCTACCATTGTGCAAAGGTCTTGCAGTTTTGCTTTGGCGGTGATAATGGTAATGGTAAGACACAGATTGAACGATGGACCGAGCTTCGAGATTTCGAGACGCACTGGAACCAATCCAAACCCTTGTCATTCATGCCAATCCATTACCAGGACCCGGATCCCACCAAGGGAGAATGTCTACCTCACATCTGGTACATGGCGGAAGTTCACGTCACGGGGCTGCTGTCGCTGGACCTGGCTCGGATTTTGTTGACAGTATACAATCCCGACATTCCCAGGATTGGACCTGGAGTCGCGGCAGCGCAAAGGCGCATTGCGGACGAGGTGCACGATGTCGTGATACGACTTTGCGGCACGGCCGTTTCGCTCGGAGGTACAGCGGCAGCGACCCCTTCTTCACAACCGGCCATGGTGCAAGCGTACGTGGCCATTGTGGTCTGCGGAGAGTATTTCAAGGATCCCATTGAACAACGGGTTCTTCTGGGGATTTTGGACAGGTTGAAGAACGATCACGGGTGGCCGACGGCAAAGGCTGCTCTGCGACTGAAACATGAATGGGGCTGGACCTGAGGAGCCCTGATGGGAGAAGTACCGGATTTCGGTCCAGTTTTTGACGCACGCATTTGGCAGCACCTGAGCGTTTAGCGACATCTGTCACAGCGTCTGTACATGTGTACTAATGAGATATCACGGGACAGGATTGAGATAAGGGCGATGGAAAAGAAAAGGCAATGGGAATGGAATTGGGATTGCAAAAGGATGACAGAACTGGCCTCAGCAGCCCGGTACAGGAACACGCCAGGAATCTACATGCGACGGCTGCCAGTTACGGAGAAATGTTACATTATGCCCACGGCTTCCTCTGCTAGGCGTCCGGAACGGTGCCCCACATGCCTTTTTCCGGGGAAGCCGATGCCTATTAGCAGCTCGCAGTTATGCTTGTCGAGGCTTGTGGCGCCTTCACTGGGATGATTGGGTGACTCGCGGTCCTCGCTTGTTGGCTGATGCCGTCATCAGCAGGCATTGGGACTTCCCCTCCTGCTCGTTGGGCCCCCTCTATACCCCTCCCCTCGCTGTTTTGATCAGAGTCATTACTAATTGACAGTGAGAGGCCGGACGCAGACTCGCTGAGGGCGACCAGCGACCGGCTATGGCGCAATCTTTCTGATCATTGATTCACTGATTCATTGACCATTGGAGCCGCGTCCCCGTCTTCGCCGGTTCCTCATTTTCTTCTCACTTCACACTCGGGAACGAACCTCCCTGCCCTCATCCTGTCAATTTCCGTCTCGAGCTACAAGCCCGTAGCCGGCGAGCACCACACTACCCAACACCAGCATATACAGGGACCTCCTTGAGACGCGCCCACCATGGCCAACAACCTCTACATCGCCGAGACGCCCAAGGAAGTCTCCGAAGCCAAGGGCTTGCACCTCATCACGCAGAACACGCCAAACGGCCAGGCAACGCAGATCCTCCTGGAAGAACTGGCCGACAGCTACGGCACGCAATGGACCACCACGCTCATCAATATCATGACCAACGAGCAGAAGAAGGAGTGGTTCTTGCGCCTGAACCCCAACGGCCGCATCCCCGTGCTGGTCGACAACACGCAGTCTCCGCCCTTCTCCGTCATCGAGACGTCCGCCCAGCTGCTGTACTTGCTGAAGTTTTTCGACAAGGAGGACAAGTTTGGCTTCAAGGATGAGTTGGAGCGGAACGAGGCCCTGCAGTGGGTCTTCTTTTGGCACGGCGGCGGTGCCCCGTACCAAGGACAGGTCAACCACTTTACGCGAGCAGCGCCGGAGAAGATCCCATGTATGACTGTCCACATGCCTCACTTGTATGTGCCTGTACTGACGTGGCCCAGACGCCATCAACCGATACAAGAACGAAACCCTCCGCGTGTACGGCGTGCTCGAGATCCGCCTGTCGGGCATCTATGCAGACGGGCCGCGCGACTACCTCGCCGGCAAGGGCAAGGGGAAATACTCGATCGCTGATATCAAAACGTGGCCGTGGGTCAAGGGTTGGGAAAGGAGCGGATTCACCGCCGACGAAATGAAGCCGTTTCCGCATCTGATGAAGTGGGTTGACCGCATTGCGGCGAGGGAGCCCGTGCAAAGAGGCATTGGCGATAAATATGTGCAGAAGTAAGTGTGTGTCAGTCGGTCGATATTATGCTTGCCACCCGATAGCATCGCATCACTTCGGTGGTCATACACACGCGGGTGGTTAGACCCAAAGCAATGATATCCGCGATGGCATCACAACGGCGGTGGCAGTCTCTGTCAATCCCCAGCACGCAAGCCCATAACCGCGACTGCAGTCCTGTGTCACTTTTTCGAGAAAAAGCATGTACTGTGCGCATTATCATGTGGCCCGGATCTTCCAATCAATTTTGCCATTACGTTCGCCATGCCTCATACTATCATCAACCACGGCTAACATGGTCGTGCTCCCTCCTTCCTTGGGAGGGCACACGCTCGCTGCTCAGGTCGAAACTCTGATTCCCATTGACCGACACGGAGGCTGCAATCCTGTAGTACGAGCTCTGTGGAACGAGGGCTGCACGACGAATACTGTAGGCCGATCAGATTTCTATGGAACGACCCACGTACCGATACTATGTTCCCCCTCTCCACCTGCTTTGTTCTGCAGAACGACGAACTTTGATGTATTAGCTGTTTATCCATCTACCCGTCTACAGGATCCATATGTCCCAACCCATGCTTTTTAGTCTCACTCAATCCCGATACCTGACCATAACATCCTCCAACAGCCGCGTAATCTTCGCCTTCCTCTCCGTCGAACACCAACTGTCCTCGATCCCGTCACGCACAATCCGCTCCCACTCGACTTTGCGCAACCCAAACGCCTCCTGCACAGCACAGTAATTGTCGAGAACATACCCGCCAAAATAAGCGGGATCGTCACTGTTGATACTAAACTTGACACCCTCCTCAAGGTACGTCCGGACAGGCAAGTCCGCTACTCGGCTTACGCACCGCAACTCGACATTCGACAACGGACACATGGTGACCATGATCCCCCTCGCGACAAACTCGGCCATCACGCCTGCGTCCTCAGCAAGTTTGATCCCGTGGTCGACCCGTGTGACGTGCAGGTCGTGCAGCGCGCTAGCCATGTAGGTGACGTCGGCCTCCTCGCCCGCGTGGGCCGTGCGGTTGAACCCGCGCGCCTCGGCATCGTTGAAAATCTCGCGATACTTGGACGGCGGGTTGCCCAGCTCGGTGCTGCTGAGGCCCAGGCCCACCACGACACTCCCGAGTTCCAAGTCGGGGATCGCCGCTCTGTACATCCGCAGCCCGTCCTCGACGGGTAAATGGCGGAGCACGCACACGATCAGCGCGCACGAGATGCCCAGCTCCGACCGCGCCCGGTCCAGGGCCCTGCTGAACCCGGCCACCACGGTGTCGTAGTGGACGCCCCGCGACGTGTGGGCTTGCGGGTCGAAGAAGAGTTCCGCGTGGACGAGCCCCTCGGAGTGGGCGCGCGTAAAGTATGCGTTTGCTAACGCTTCAAAGTCGTCCGCAGTGCGCAGCACGGACATGCCGATGAAGTAGTAGTGCAGGAAGTCGTCGAGGGAGGTGAAGTTACGGTAGCGCGCCAGGAGGGCCGCGGGGCTCGCGAATGCGGCGTCGTCGCGGGGGAGGGGGATGTTGTTGCGGGCGGCGAGGGAGAAGAGGAGGGAGGGTTCGAGGGAGCCTGGACCGAACATGGAGTAAGTATGGTGATTAGGTATGTACGACAGTGAGTAATTAAGTCAATGAGTAGGTTCGAGGAACGAGGAGGGCCCGTAGTGCTTCCTTCCCGTACTTATCGCCTCGGCCTCTGCTCGCTTCGCGTGATGTGTGGGGGGCGGAGAGTATAGAGTAGGCACTCCGTGTGTAGGACAGTGAAGTGATCAAACAGGTGAAATTCAAGAGAAAGACGGTAGGCGTAGTGATTCCTTCTCTTATCGTCTGACCTCGTGTCGTCTCGCCTCGTAATGATGCTGCGTGGGAGAGCACACCATACCTATCCTCCACTCACCCACTCACCCACTCGTTCATACACTCTCCCTCCCCTCGTCGATACGCCAAACAAGAAAACGAACGGACGGACTCGCACTTCGATTCGATTCGACTCACCTTCCAAATGCATATGGTGTTCACATTTCGGGAGAGCCTTCAGAAACTCGTGCATCTGCCCTTGACACATCTTGGGACGGACGGCGTTCGGAAGGGCTGACTTGCGTTGAGTTGAGTCGAGTTAAGTTGAGTCAAGTCGGGTGGTTGAAGTCGACTTGAACGTACAATAGCACTCCTCTCTCCTATCTCCTGCTTGATTGATTTGAGAATGGTAGTCCCGCCCCAGTGGTAGAACTCCAAGGTAGATTTAAGAACACAGATTCAAGCTCATGCCCAGATCCGACGGCCTCTAATCGTGTCGTGGCGGGTCGTGTCGTGTTATATCGCGTCGTGTCCTGTTGTACAGGGGTTTGACCAAGTGGGTGCCCTGGTGCGTTGGTGCGTTGGTGAAAGGCTCAGTCGGTCTGCTGCCACACAAGCTAGTAATTGTTTGAACTCCCTCGTCCTTTCTCAAGGCTGTCAGAGCAGAGCAGACGCCGAGCCTCGACCCCGATGACCTCAGGAAGAGATATCGCCTCCACGTGTCACTGGGTGGAAAAAAAATCTATCTCCACGCCCGTGCAGTGCAGTCGGCAACCTCCGAATTGTCTGAGTAAGTAAGTAAGAGGACGTCCCGCCACTACGTTCTGGAATCCGCGATGACGGGTGTCACCTACGTACCATCTGCCCCCCGGTCGTCAGATACGGGAGAATATGCTTACATTGGCGCATGAACCGACTGTGAGAAAGACATGTGGAATGGCCTGCTGTGCGCAATGACGTCGGCGATAACGAGTGTGGATGAACGCGATTGCATGCTGAGTGACTCGGCGGAGCTTCGCAGAAGACTCTACCTGGCTATCATCGAAGGTCCTACCATGAGAACGCCACGACGAAGATATCACGGTTACTATCTACAGCGCGTAAGCATTCTCGGGGTAAGAATAATTCTGTACAGCTCGAGTGTCGCTACGTGTGGTATCCACAGTTTCGCCCGTCTGTCATCCCTCAACAACATCGCTCATTTCCAGACTGTTGCGCGCATACTCTTTGCCCAGTCCGACACCCTTCAATCTGGCATCAATCACAGCCCCGATACAGCGTCCCATCCCTTCAAGATCCCCCATGATCCCAACATGCCCGCGGTCGCTTTCCACTCGGCCTCCTTTTACGCACAGATATCCGTCTGGCAGCTGTGCCGCACTTGCGAGTACCACCCCGTCTCCCGCTGCAAAAGCTAGATCGTCAAATGCATCCGTGTATTTGATCGCTTTTCTGTTGGCCACCCGCACTCCGTACACGGTTGGGACGGTCTTGCCGAAGATGAACGCATGCGGTGGGTAGAGATTGCTCGCCTGATGTCTCGGATTGATTCTCAGCTGCTGCTTGAAGACTGAAACCTCGGCCAGCGTACGGTCAAGATAATCCATTGCAACGTCTTTCGGAATTGTCACGGCAGTCGCTACGCTGGGTCGCTGGTGTGACTGCTTCATGGACGGTCCAACCATGCCCTCCGCATTGCCCTCGAGATCTTGGTCGACCTCCAACACCTTGTCGTTCATCCGGTGAACAGTCCCCTCCAAGGGTTCTCCGGCCTCTGTATGCTGCGATGGTTGTCCTTTGGAAGGCCCACCTCCGAGCCAAGGACTACGCTTAGCAGTTTCGGCAATGCTATCGGAGACATGGTCCATAATGCTCTTCCTACCCTCGTCTTTTTCTTTGAGTCTATGACCTAATGGTGGGTTAACGCAAGGAGAGAGTCGGTACTCGTCCCAGGTATGTGGGTCGAAAAAGTCCAGATCGAACCTTTTGTTAGTATGCTTTTCAATGAAGCAGCGGCCATCTTCTGGCAGCAGGGCAAAACTGGTCCGAATGGTGAAGTTGACTTGTGCAGTGAGTACCCTGGAACTCAAAAGGACATCGTCGCCGTTCCTTAGGGGTCCTAGGATATTCACACAGTGTTGCGGAGTACCAGCAAAGACCACACCGGCAAAGAGGTCGGGACGCTGATTCACCGCGTGCCGCGTAATCAACCCACCAAGGCTATGTGCAATAACAATTGCTCCTCGCATCCTACGTGGCGTCTCAGGATGGTTGGACTCGAGCGATTCCAAGAACTTGATCAATTTCTCACTAAGCAAGTCAGGACTCAACCGCCAATCATAGCCCCAGTTATGGACTCTGAGCTTGTTGTCGCGAGCATTCGGGCATTTTCTCATATGCTTGAGGAGCCTCCTGCAGACATCAATTGGCCCGATATGAGAAAGAATGCCGTCTGGGATGACTGTCTGCTCCATCCGCTCTTCGTCCTCCCGCGTGAGGCCCACCTCAAGATCCACTTTGCGCAGGTTGAGGCCGACCTTGATGGGCACCCAGAGTTGTCGATGAGGGGGTTTGGCCGACCTCAAGATTGATCCCCTGTAGCCACCAAGTATGACTATATCGCCCTCGGCCTTGGCCAATGCCTGCGACAGCACAGGGTGAGCACGTTGCTGGGGCGTCTCCACTTGGATGTTCTTGGCTGCGTTCCGCATCGTCTTCATCGAAGGGTATTGACGGCCCGGAGCTCGCCCTGACCCAGTGGCAACATCATCAGTGTCGCGGGACGCCTCGCTACTCCCCCGCTCTCGTGATGCCCGCCGTTTCGCATTAGGTCGAATTGCGGGTAGCCGCGGCAACTTTATTGTCGAGTTTTGAAAGCTGTCTGCTATGGCTTTAATCCTGGAGTTGGCCATGTCGGTGACATGGGCAAAGGCACTAATATCATCGAAAGCGGATGCCCCAGAGACTCTCCTTCTTATGAAGAGCGAGCTCTCCGAATTGGACCGCACGCGACTGGCGTTCGAGGCCGGACTGGTTGGTGAAAGGAGAGACTCCACGTTGCCATCGACCTGACTTCGGGTTATAGTAGTTTCATCTTGAAGTGCTGATTGTGCTGGTCGCACGCTGCCAGCAGAACCGTATCTTCCGCGTGTTTGAAATGGTTCCCGGATAGGGAACCGAGAAGTCCTCGTCATTGGAGTGTTTTCACCGCTAGTTGGAGTTTGCTGGCCGGAGTCCTTACCGTCCAGAAAAGATAGCGAACTTGAACTCTTGTTGAAGTTTGCGGAAGGCAGTTCTGGCAGTAGCTTTCGGAAATTGGCTAGTGGGCCTGATAGACTTCGCCGCCGTTCACTGACGACTCCGCCAAGGAGGCTTTTGGTAATGGATCGCCGTGAAGGACGCGATGTGTCGTGACTATCTCTGCTACTATTAACATGTGAGACATCGTTGTGGGAGCGTCGAGGATGCTGACGAACGTGGTCTCGCATAGGTGGGGATGGCGGTCTTCGTGTGGGCGGTGGTGGGGACGGGAATACATGAGGCTGAAGTTCATCTGCATCTCCTCCCTGGATCTGTGAAGGGTGCGTCGCTTCATAGGGAATGTCGGACTGATGGCCATTTTCGCCATGGTTCCGTTCTTGCCGATAGGAGGATGGCGCCTCCCTTGACCATGACCTCCTATCCACCGCGCCTGGGGATATGGAACTCTTGGAACGGCTTTGGAAGATTGCTGGTGGCCTGTAACTGCCATCCGGTGTACCGATTTGCGTATCGTTTGCTCCGTCGGTCTCACTACCTTGTTCGGGACCCTCACCCAGCTCAAGCGTTCTTCGGAAGTACTCGACCGGCAAGCCTAGGGCTCTAGCCTTCTGGGATGCTGGTGTATCTGGCGATCTCATCTGCGTCTGGACGCGACTCATACTAACACCAATCAGTTCGTCGCTGTAGAGATCTTCCGTTCGGAGACGCAGCGCTTGGCCATGGTTGCCCGAGAGGGTACCAATATCGACCAAGGCGCCACAGCCATCGGTCACGGGGAAATAGCCCTCAGCCAGACCGTGAGCGGAAGTGAGGTCGGCTACACCAGGAGCACTGGCTATACCCATAATCGGACGGCGAATGCATGAAGCATGTGAGATGATCGCGGGTTGGGCAAGCGGAGGTTACGACAATTGTCGAAGTATAGTCAGTCTGTCGAAGGAAGGAGCCCGCTCGGGATAATAATGCTGATGGGCAGGTAAAGGGCGGTTCCTGAGCTGAGATACGGTGCTTGTTATGAGTGGAGACGGTCGAAGCGATGCTCTGGGTCCAAGGTCGAATCTGACTGCTGTGGTACTCGCGGCCGTTCGGGAGACTGGATCTGGACACAGTACGAGTACTCCGTAGGTCTGGTGAGACGAGGAAAGCCGATGCCGTAAGCGAATGACCAGCCCAATTGGATGGCGGAATAAGATCTGATGGACGGTGACTAATATTCTTGGGTAGCAGGATGTGTCAGGTTCCAGCCCTGAGAACGAGCGTCGGGATACGATCCCTTGCTGGATGAAGGAAAGCAAAAAAGCACGATAAAGATGGACTTGCGTGGTAGGAGGAAGGGACGGAGAGGACAAGAGAGCGAACAGACACGCGAGTGAGTCGTCATGAAGCAGCGCGGGAAAGAGCGGATCAAAGGTGCTGTGTGGTTAGAAGGAAGCTGGTCTCGGAGGTCATCGCTCCGTAACCATCGTCGACAGCTATGACTTGAACTAAAGAATGGCATGAGAGCTGGGCGGCAGCAAGCACGTCGAGGCTTCGATAGCATTGCTACTCATATCTCCTCTCACCTGCATCTGACTTCGCCGTTAATGACTTGTAATTGAGTTGGCCCCCGAGCTGACACGCTCGTGCACGCTAAAGCTTGGATCGCCTAAGAAAGTGGCCGGTCAGTTCTGGGCATCGTCGAGCGCATTGATGACCTCGAACGTAGCTAGGTGGCATCCCCTAAGTTTTGTTGGTGGTGGCCCGCCCCTAACGTCTACTGTAACCAGAAGACCTTGTGCCGCGATACAACTTTTCCTGACTCCCCTTCCAGTCTCTCTTGTGTCGCAGAGGAACTCCTGTCTTCCAATGAAGCCAGCATATATGATCTGTTGGCCGCAGCTTTTTCGAAGCGAGACGACATGACGTACGCTACCCAACCAGCCTCCTACAGCACGGTACATCGCCGATAACCACCGGATCGAATTGGTCGAGCACAGGTCAGCGAATTGACAGATGATGAGATCCGGTTGACAGGTTCAGGCCGGGGGCATTACTCGCATTGACACGACAATCACTACCGCGATGAGCCTTGGATAGGCTGCACTCGCAAACAAGCACAGAACCTTTCTGACTGTCCAGATACGGCGGTATTACCTGCACTTGCTGCACACTCAGAACAGGCTCGGGCTGACTCGAACGTGGACAATCAAACCAGGTCTTGATCTTGCGGTTGATGGTGGCTGAGCCGTTCGGCTTGCAATGACGCTGTTCAACGGGGATCGCTGCGGATACAACCCGATCGTCATGTAGGTCGCACTGATTGCTCTTTACCCTGCTCTCACCCCGTTGCGGCATTATCAGAGTCCGCGTGTCTCTTCTCGAGTCACAGTATCTTTACAAGTAATCCCCTGGAACGCAACACAACTACAATACTGCCAGGTGCATCTGGAGGGCTCCCATCCTTCACACTCTGCCAAGTACCTTTCTCAGTCACCAACATCAGCAACGGTATAAGCTCAACGGACGAAGCTCGCACCGCCATACACACTCTGGGTACGACGAAGAAGATAGCACAAGCCAAACAGAATCATCCACAATGTGACAACCAAATCCGTAGGTAACTTCTGAATGGGTAGGAACGAGCAATTCTCGTCCCAGTAACATCCCGTTTGTTGTTCACAGTCACAGAATATATCACCTATGTTCAATGGCATCCGCGTTCTACTCATCCGGACGATCTCACCATCACTGACCAGCTGCAGCCAGCTCAAACAGACCCAGTATGCTAGCATATAGTTCAAAGATGAATCCTCGTCTGCAAATGGATCTCGTTTCCCACCACCCTGTCTCCATATGGCTGATCAACAGCTCGGTCCCTCCAAGAAAGAAAAAGAATTTCCCGAGTTGAGACTGCGCTTCTGGGGCGGTAAAAACAGTGTGATGGGTGGCCTGCTAGCTGAGGCTTTCATGTCGCCGAGAAGATATCACAACCTAGTAGCAGACCACAAGAAAGCACGAGACGCCAGGAAGGCTGCGACAGCTGCTGTTGTGGCTACAACATCTATGAAAGCCGACGAGGCTGTTGGCGAAGAGCTTTCGAAGGCTCCAACCTCCGCTGATGAGAAGGCGGAAGGAACCCCAAATCTTGAGAAGGCTGGCCGAGGTGAGGGATCAGTGGCGACGCAGCAACCTCAGCTAACGGGACGGTAGAATGCAATCCAGAAGCAAAGGGAGCCGAGGCAGCTGAGCACAGGGATCTGGAACCCAACGATCAGGCACAGAAACCAACCAGGCCTGGTCCGCCAGAAGCTGGACCTGCCAACGCCGCGGGCAGGAAACCCAGCTCCTCATCGCATCACAGCATCGAGCAGGGTTCAGCACATGATAGCAAGCAACGTGCCGCGGAAGACCCTCAAGTCTCTCCCGGGCTACGAGGCGGAGGAGGTCCACGTCACCGTAACACATCGACTATAACAGCGGATGGCAGTGCGAGAACAACCCAACCCAGATCGTTAGGTATCCCGAAACCTCCCAGTACTCACGGTAACAATGGTGCGCAACCACACCAGCAGCCACCGTCGTTGCAACGTCCACCTCAACCAGTCCCACGGCCTCCCCAGAGCAGTAGTTCTCGTCCTGCGTTGAGCAGACCAAGCGCCCCGCCCACGATCCCGCAGCTCCATGCTTTGCCAGCGCATACCATTCGACCAGAATCGGCCATTTCTCAACAGGTCTCGGCCGACCCTGCAATCCCAGGTCACGACCGGGCCACTCCCCTCGGTCAACACTGGCAGAACACGCGCGGGACAGACGATGTGTCTGCAGAAAAGGCCCCCAGTGCCAGGATCTCGGAAGTGCCAGCTCGGCAAATGATTGTCACGTGGATTGAGGGCCAGCCCCAACATCAACAGACGTCTCAGAACCCAATCCCTCGGCTCGATGTCGCGAAAGGAAGCTGTCCCCAGTGCGGAGCTCGATGGCCTCGCCAGCCGGACTCCCCAAATAGACCTGTATCGCAACAGCCGGCGCCGTCACAGAGTCAGTCCGCTTCCAAGAGTCATGCTACATCTGCTCGCCAGAGTCATGCTCCATCTGCTCTCAAGCGTCGTGACTCCCCGCAAACCCAGCCTCCAGGTCAGAGCAAGTGTCGTTGTCCACCCAGCCAGAAGCAAAATCAGAAACAGGAGCAGAATCAGGGCCCGAGCCACCAGGGTGAGAAGAGCCAAAAGCAGGAGCAGCATCGCATTCCGCACCAGCAATCTCGAACCCACGTCCGCCAGGGTTCGAAAGCTCAAACTCAGCAGACCTCTACAAGTATGGCTCAGCCGCCGAAACAGGCCTCGACCGACCACCGCCAGGCCATAATAGCGACACAAACATCGCAGCAGAATCGACCTCCTGCAACTTCTCAAAGCCAGCAGGGTTCTGAAACCCAAAAGCCGAGCCGAAAAGGGAGCACTCCGCGCAAGAAGACCCTAAGCACGATCACTCATCCTGGTTCTCACTCTGCTACTGCCGTCGCCTCGGCCTCACTCCCTTACATCAAGCTATCGAACGACGCGAAATCGCAGAAACAAACCATCTCCCCCGCGCCCCAGCTAAGTCAACCCTTGCCTCCGCCTCCTCCTCCACCACCACAGGCACAACCACAACCCCAACAGGCACCTCACTCTCGCCCTACCTCTCTATCTCCAACTCAACGCCTCCGCCGTGCCGCGGACCACACCCCAGAAGGATGCTACCTGACGGTCGTACCACCGCACAGCGCCCCTGGCCGTGGCCCGGGCCCGGCCTCCACGCCACGGCTCCCTCCGTTCACGCTCGATGCCAACTTAGCAGACATCGCGAGCCACCACGTCAGGTTCGGTAATCTGCGCGGCGGCGGGTACGCGACGCCATCCCCGTCCCCCCCCCTCTTTTCCCGTCCACATGTCTAGACGTGGACGTGTGCTTTGATGTGGCGTGCCACGCCGGCCACGGGAACGTCCATAACGAGGCGGCGACGGCGGCGAGAGCGACGACATCTTGGCAATGGATGCGATGCCGAGACAGAAGCACACTGGCACGGTGGGGAGAGATGTCTGCGAGATGATGGGTCCTGTTCTTGTTCCTGATTGTTCTTGTTGATCCTTGGTGGGGATCCTAGCCGAAGAAACCTACCCACATAATCTGAGGAGCGAGCGTCATGGTACTGGTACTGACGTACCATGTAAGTCGGCCGAGGAGGGAATGGAGGCTGGGAGGATGGAAGCGAATGAGACTGAAATGCAATGAGTGCTGAGTGCTGAGTGCTGAGATAGAGCAAGGTGCTCGTGCTGGTCCCGTTCGCCCCACTCGTGCTCGTGCTGTTGCTCGAGCTCTGCACATAACAACAAAAAGTAAGTGACAGACAGGCACTCGCCGTGCTCGAGCTCTTCACGTACAACAAAAATCTAGATGGAAACACTAGCACGGTCTGTGACCAGACATACTGTACCGGGAAGATACGATCTAATCTGATGTGCTCCAACCTGATCTGATCTGCCGAATCTACTCTCTACTCGAATCGACATCTCAGATCCAAGATTCTATGTTCCTCTTACAGTAGCTGCGACCGACATGTACTATCGGCACGTTGAATCAGTCTATTCGTGTATGAATCAGGTATATGTGTAAAAGTGTGGGCTGAGATCCCTGGTCGGAGGCCCATCCAAGGAATGATGAACAATATAAGCTGTAAGAGAATGAGGGAGTGGTAGATACAGGCCATACGGAGTACAAGGAATATGAAACAACGTGATGTGATGTGCAAGAAAATGAGGGATAGAATTCTACAGACGGCGTCTAACTCGCCTCGATTCCAGGATTAGTGGTTCTCGTCTGCGATGGTCATGGGGAAAGGTGCTTGAAACCGAGATCGGGTTCATGGCTTCAAGAACAGACTGTACCCTTGGTCTCAGGACATGTCATGAAAGTTTGATGAGCGGTCGTCGAGCGAGGGCTGGGCAGGATACATGACGGGAGACAGTTCCATGACTGCGAGTCACGGGAACGTCCACAGTAGACTCTTTTGTCTACTCTCGTGTCCTTCCACTCTTCTGCACTGAAAGGGGTAAGAGGATAGTTGCGATATCTGCCAGCTATGTCATACCGCTATGTAATTAGGCCACGGCACCGCCATCTAGCCGCGGGCCCTAAAGTCTTGATGCTAGGTACAGCGAGGACATTTCTCCGTTGTATTCGTCCGACCTCGGCTCGCCCACTCTTCTCGTTGCACATGACCTCGCCCGTTGGGGTCGGCGACATGTGAAAGACAGAGAGTAGCGCTGGACAAATACTTTTCATTTGCCTGTTGGGGTTCACTCCGGCGCCCCTTCGTCGGTCCACCGATGGGATCAACGTCGGTTCTGTTGAGGAGAGATCCCATGAACCTGCCCTTGTCTGCCCCGGCACCATCTTGACCCCGTATGCCTTCATCCTTTGCTGTCCAAACCCAAATATGTGATCATTAACGTCGTGGTTCGTTCAAGGTGTTCCACATGTATGTGGCAGCAGGCGATAGGCTCAACCCACATCCGTGACGGCCTCGTCGGCCATTACATCGTGTCATCAGGCAAAGAGATGCGCATTCGCTTCGACCTCTGTTATTGCTCCACTCTCGGGCGTTTCGTGCTGGGAACCCCCATGCCCTGAGCGGCACGCTCTTCACGTATTCGAATGGCTTCCGTGCCGTCGTCAACCAACGTCTCCTTGAACCAGGGATGTTTGAGTGCTTCCTTGGCAGTGATTCTGTTCTTCGGATCATAGACGAAGATCTTCCGTAAAAGGTCGAGTAACTGCCTGTTGAACGGCGTATTGGCTGGAATGAATTCCTGTAACGAGATCGTGTCAGCATGGCACTATATCGAAAGTAAGTCCACAAGCTAAGACGTACGTGAAGATGCTTCATTGCCTTGACGTATTTCCTGGATGCCTTGGACGTTTCCTGGTTGGGATATTCCAGTTTGCCTCGGTTGAAGAATTTTGCAGCAGAGTTGGCGTTGGCACCGCGACCTCCCGAACACACTTGCTTGACAAGCTTGGCGTCGATTTTGCTACTGCAGACCGCCTCCATCATTGCGAGGTGCTCAAGGTTGTCGTGAGTCTGGAACAGTGCATCACCTGTGAAGAACTCGACTAGTATGCATCCAATGCTCCAAATGTCACAGGGGAAACTCCACCCAAGCTGTAGGATGATCTCAGGCGCTCGGTAATGTCTTGTTGAGACGACTGAGGAATGGTATTCGTCGTCGAAAGTGGCTGACCCGAAATCTATCAGGCGGATCTCACTGTCCAAAAGCACCCTTCGTTGCCGAGCTGTCCGTGACGTGGTATGAGAGGATGACGGTATTGTACGGTTGTAGGTGAACGTCTGGTAAGTATTGTGGACGAGAAGGATATTTTCCGGCTTGAGATCGGTATGGATAAGGTTCAGATCATGGAGAACTACGCAGTGTTAGCAGCAAGTTCGCGCAATATTGGCGGGCAGCTTACAGGCGACGCTGGTGAACAGCTGTCGGGCAAAGTTCTGAATCTGGGAGCTGGGAAACGGCACAAAGCCGTTCCCTTTGAGAAAATCAAAGACACTTTGTCCGAGCAGGTCTGTCACTATGCAGATGTGGTTTCGGAAGTCGAAAGAGTCCCGCAGGTGGATGCACTTGTTCCGGTTGTTCTTGTCGTTGAGCGCAAGCGTAGACAGGACGCGCAGCTCAATCCGAGAGGCATCGCGATACTTTTGCACTGATCGAATGATCTTGACGGCACATTTGGATTTCTTTTTGGAATCGTATGCTTCGACGACTTTACCGAAGGTGCCTTGTCCAAGGAGTTTGACGATTTCATCTGTTCAATATGTCAGCACAGCGTCCCAGTGGTGACGTCCCTCAAACTTACATCGCTCTGCTAGTTTTGTGCCAGGCGTCACAATGTAGTGCCCGTCCTCGTCGTCTACTTTTAAATTCTTGTGCTTCTCTGCATCTCGCATCACCGGGACGTGGACATCGGCAGCCTTTTTCAGAGGTTTTGGTGGCGGGACATAGTCGAGGAACGCATCTGGCACAGACTCTTGCTGTTTTCGCTTCGCTTGTGCTCGCGTCTCTTTCTGCGGCTGCGCTCTCTTTCGCTTTTGTCCCACCCTGACATCTTCATAACTGTTGCTGGCCGTGTTGCTACCATACGACTCGAGGGATGTTGGAGCCGTCACTGTCTGAAGGGAAGTGGTCCGATCACCCGAGTGGTATGAGGCCGACGATGACGCAAACTTTGCCGGGTGTGTTGAGTACGTCGGACTATCAGTGTACTCGACGTTGTAACCTTGATCGACTTTTCGTTTCCGACCAGTATTTGTTTGATAGCCGTTCGTATCGTGTCCTTGTGGCCGGGTCGTCAGTGTATCAGGCTCTGGACTGTCGTCATCAATCACGATGATTTCTTTGGGAACTCCGTTTTTATAGAACTCATTCCAGTCCGGCTGTCTTCTCAGAGGGTCAGGAAAGACTGAAGTCGATTGAGAGGGAGCCATAGTGGAGATGTGAGACGGCCCTCTGTACGATATCGCAGGTGACTGTTGGGGTTGTGGGTACTGGGAGGTGCTGGCGTAACTCTGATAAGAAGTGTTCAGGCGTGGAGGCGGAGGTACAATGTTGGTAGCGGGGTAGGTGCGGGTTGTTGGCGAGTATGGGTTTATGTGAGCATAACCATATTGACCGTGGTGGGCAGGCAAGAGGGTGGTCGCTATCGAAGGTGTAGACATGGTGTTTCAGGCGGGTTGGTCTGCCAGTGGCTCGACAACACGGATGTTGTCGAGTGCAGGGTACGGCATATGAGGCACACACGAGTGTGAATCCGTAAGATCGGAGTCACGGCTCGAGTCTATACGGGGTGGGGGATTTTGGGAGCGGACGAAGGATCAGAGTCGTGGAAAAGGACGAGCAGGGTGAGATGGTCGTCGTCGAGGCGGAGTTCGTGGTTCGGGTAAAAACGTGGAGACGCACAACCTCAGGCGGGAAACGCCTATTGCTGCACTTCCACGCTCATATCTGCGAGTCTAGCAGGATCGTAGGGTGACAGAAAGTACAACGAATGCCGGTGTCTGGGAAAGAATAGTTTTGGTGCCGGTCAAGTCAAGGCAGGTTCAGTGGGAGAAGGTCGACGATGATGTAGATTGAGGTGTGAAGTGAGGTTTGCACTGTCTCTGCCATTAACCCAGCACGTCGTAGCGCAACTCCAACTTGAACCCTGGACGCTTCCGTGGCTTCTCAATTTGGGCGTCGGGCGGCGGATTGGGGACCGCGTCGTAGCCGGCCGAATCATCACAGTTAAACACCCATGACACCATCTTGAGCCTGCGTCAATCGACTGTTCGCCTGTTTTCGACACTCTTCACCTCGACCCCGATGCCTGCTGCGGCGCATACACAGTGCTTGACTACCAACTACCAACCATTATCCACGACTGTGTGGTGCTGTCACGGTCTGCTCAGTTAGCCGCTGCCCCGGCTTTGTGAGCGACTGCCCCAGTTTTTGTGCGCGCATCCTTGGTCGTCGCCTATGAGGCCCTCCGAGTCCTCGGGCTGCGGCAAATGCAGTAGGCGTCCGAAGGGTTGATACCTCTGCCGATCTGCCCTGGCGCTTCTCGTCGCACCACAGCTTGCGCGGGAGGACGCACCAGACTCTGGTTTAGCGTCGCCCTTACATTGACTCTTGTGTATTTATTTGAATGATGGACTATTTTTCTTCCACATGCCTATCCTACTGAAACGTCGTTGGGGATAATAAGATCCTGCAGCGGATGACAAGGTTCCGCCACCGGAGCACCAATTCTAGCTGGCAAAGGCGAAGATCCTCCGATACCGTGGCACAGGCGATCACGACAATGCGACAAGACCCGAATGGCCGATTCGTTCTGCAGTAACGTATTTGAGCAACCCTCCCACCAACAGGGAGCCGAAGAGCAAGAGGCCATGGTGATACGAATGAAACTCCGTGCACAAGCCCAGGCTACCTCTGACATTGTCACCTCAGCCTGGCATGTATCAAAGACGGCTCGTTGGCAATAGATGAGGCACGTATGTGATCCTTGATCCCCATGCAGCCATCATTTCATTCTGTGTGCTGCTCGTCCTCCACATCTCGCACTGAAATGTCTTTTTAAAGGCAATTATCTTACAGTAAGCCATGCCTATCGCCCCAGGAGGGGCCGCCACGGCATAAGAACTCGCTCTCTTCCTATGCAAACTGATGCAAAGAATCTAGAAATGCACATGTCAAGAATCACTCTTCTCCGGCAAGTTGACTCCTTTGAGGTATGAGCGCGAGGCCCGCCCGTCACTCTCCAAGACAAGCAACACGTCTCGAGCCTGGATTCTGGCGTCCTTGTCCTCATCCCAGTGGCCAAACTGGTTGTCCTTTGGCGGTGCTCGAGTTCGTTCAGGAGCGGGGGTGCCGGCTGTCGACGTTGGACCTGATACCGGCGGTCTGCCAGGAGTTGCCGCTGGGCTGGCTCCTGCTTTGCCTGCATTCATCCAGTCAAAGGTCCTGCCTGCCTTTTTACGGTTACCCAAGATGCCTGCTACAGCCATCCGTGCGGCTTCATTCGCCGACTTGTGTTGCTGCTGTTCGGTAAATTTGGTCTCAGCCAGCTTCCTCTCTTTCTTGGTGGTTTTCTTTTCAGCTTCGAGAGCAGCGCTGGCGGCATCCAGAGTGCTATCACCGGCAGGCGTAGCTGAAGCTTCATCCTTCGCGGCGGTCCTCCGTTTGCTTCTCTTCTGGCGACGCATCTCCTCGGCAGTTTTCTCCCCGTATGACACCTTGTCGAACGTGGAAATCAACCTTTCAGGCACTTGCGCCGGGTCGTTTGAGAAAGATGGCTGGCTGTTAGCTTGCGAATGCGTGCCTGACCTAGTCAGCAGTGATAATAATTCAACGCAAAAGAAGAACACTCACGCTTCAAGCTGGAGCTGCCTGCCGGACTTGGTGCGGCTTCTAAAAGGTCGACCCCAAGCTTGGGTGGCGCTGCTATATCCTGCCATTCGTCTGGTATTTTGCCTTTCGAATGCTGCCGCCGTTCCTTGGCGAGTCTTGAAGAAGCACTGAGAAGACCGGTTATCCGGGACTGGGCGGCCAAATTGATAACTTTCATGATGTCTGATAGCCGCTCGCCTTTTCCTTGAGTATCAAGAATCGCTTGACCCTTGTCGATGACACGAGAAGCGCCTTCGAGGCCATTGACTCGCACTGTGGGCGGAGGCATATGCTTCTGGGTGTTTACTAGCACTCCAGACTGCGGATCGACCAGATGTTCGGTGATGCTGATGTTCCGTATCCTCTCATTAAGCGCTCCTCCCAGCAAAAACATGTCCCATAAGGGATGTTGACTGTGTCTCGATTCCTCCCAGTCGGCACGCTCTTCAAGCCTCTGCTTCATTTCCTCCTCGGACGGCCGAGGCTCCTGGCTTGCATTCAACCCATCTGTTTGTCCCGGTGGTGGAGCTCCTATACCTCCACTTGAACCTGGTAGCGTCAACGAGTTGTTGTTGAATTGAAAAGAGCCTTTTGCCGTCTGCGAAGTTGAGCTCCCCCCAAAATAGTCATTCTGAACCAGCAACCTAGACTCCTCCTCGATGTTGATTCCAGTGCCCGCCAAAATATCTTCATGACTTCGATCCTCTTTATCCGGCGGCCGCTGTGGAGGCGGCATCAAAGTAGCTGGACGCGCAGTGGGAGCAGGAGCACTATTCACGGGGGTATTGCTGGCTGGAATGCCTGATAAGCCTGTCGGCGTGCCTGGAAAGCTCTGGGCGGCTGACGGGGACTGGATATCTGGTGAGAGTCGGGGTCTTTTCGCCGCGGGCGGTTGGAAATACTGCTGGGGAGAGAAAGCTTGCGGTGAAGATGAGGCGTAATTCATGCCCACGGGAGGGGACTGAGGCCCAAGCGGGCTGGGTCTGCCATTTGGGGCGGAGAAGTCGCGCGGGAATGAAGTCTGCGTCTGGGGAAGAGGAGGGCGCGACGGCGCTGGGGGCGAGTGAGCCATGGTGGATGAGAGAGTCCAAGGTTTTGCGTCAATTCCACCGTGGTGCTTGTCTCTGACTCTGAACCTGCCTCTGGATTCCGAGTGAGCGTGGTGTCACGCTCGACCCCCTTCTTGTCCCTAGCATGCCTGTGTAGGTTCTGACGACATCGAGGAGTCGCGTGTACTTGCTGGAGCAGGTGTAAGGATTAAACCGCAGTGTAAAATAGTGAGTTGAGTGATGCGATGAATGTCGAAAGTGCAAACCGCGGAAAAGATGCCTGCACCATATCGTCAATAGCCGCAGTCACGTGCCACCATCTGCGCATTCATCCTGTGTACTTTGTATTTCCGGTCACTTCACCTCGACTTCCATTTCTCCTTCACTTTGACCCTTGCCCCCATTCATGTCAATCACTCGACATTTGATGTGTGAATGACACCTCATCCGCCTCGCCCTCTTCACTGCTTCCACGGTTTTGTTGCGCTCCAAATAAATCAAGGATAGAACGATCTCCGGGGATGATTCGCCCTTAGATGAATCTTCACGGCAGGGGCGTGCCATGTCATTTTGTCTGCTCACGCACCTTCTACGAAATACCCTTGCACTGGATCAGTGCTTGCCTGAAATTCTCTATCGATCGCGCCTAACATAGCACTGCCACCACTTGGATCATGGCTACGAAAAGAAAGCTCGGAGCGATTATTGATGCTCAAGATGACGACCCCGTTGATCCATCAGACGAGCTTGTCTTCACGGGATTGGGAGGATGTCAAGAAGTTGGACGATCGTGTCATATTCTACAATACAAGGGCAAGACCGTCATGGTAAGGGAGAAGGTTTCAAGGATCAATTCTTCGCTAACCAGTGTTTAGCTCGACGCGGGTATGCATACAGGTCGCGAAGGAATGTCAGCCATGCCCTATTTTGACGACTTCGACCTGAGCACAGTCGATATCCTTCTAATCAGCCAGTAGGTCACCCTCTGCTTCCTTTTCAGCGTCGTCTTTGGAGGTTGCAGCGTGGAATGTGGTTGCGGACAAAGTGAGGCTGCGCCTCATCTACGCAACGCCGCCACTTGAAGGGCAAAGGACCCAATAAACACCTGCAACACGATCTTGTACCTATAGGCAGACATGAATACAAATTGTTGAACCACGATCCATCCATTTCTGCTCTTCCCGAATCTCCATCCGGCGTGTTCTACCTCCCGAGCCCAAGAACAAGTTGCTACTCTCAGACCAGCTCTGGACAGAAGGCTAACATCGCTATTACGCAGCTTCCACCTCGACCACGCGGCCGCTCTTCCTTATGTCCTTGCCAAAACCGACTTTAAGGGTCGTGTGTTTATGACCCATCCAACGAAAGCAATCTACAAATGGCTCATCCAAGACTCTGTCCGAGTCAGCAACACCACTTCGACATCCGACCAAAGAACCTCACTCTATACCGAAGCTGACCACATCTCGACGCTCCCACAGATCGAGACGATAGACTTTTACACCACGCATACAGTCTCGGGGGTCAGGATAACACCGTACCCGGCTGGCCATGTCCTGGGTGCGGCCATGTTCCTCATCAACATAGCCGGACTAAATATTTTCTTCACCGGAGACTATTCTCGAGAACAAGATCGTCATCTGGTAGCGGCCGAGGTGCCAAACGTCGCAAGTGTTGGAAGGATTGATGTCCTCATAACAGAGTCGACTTTCGGCATCTCGAACGCCCCACCCCGGGCAGAGAGAGAAGCTGGACTTCTCAAGGCGGTGTCTGGCATCCTGAATCGCGGTGGCAAAGTCTTGATGCCGGTGTTCGCGCTGGGGCGAGCTCAGGAACTGCTTCTTATCCTCGAGGATTACTGGCAGCGACATCCGGAGCTGCAAAAGATTCCAATATACTACACCGGGACCACCGCCCGTAAATGCATGGTTGTATACCAGACGTATATCAATGCAATGAACGACAACATCAAACGCATATTCCGAGAAAGAATGGCCGAGGCTGAGGCGGCAGGCAACGCCAAAGGCGTCAGTGCTGGGCCTTGGGACTTCCGCTTTGTACGCAGTTTGCGAAATCTGGATCGCTTCGACGATGTCGGCGGGTGTGTGATGTTGGCTTCGCCTGGTATGATGCAATCGGGCATGTCTCGCACGTTGCTTGAAAGATGGGCTCCAGATCAACGCAATGGAGTTGTCATGACCGGCTACAACGTGGAAGGGACAATGGCCAGAACCATATTGTCAGAGCCTGACATGATCCCAGCCATCATGAGCGGTTCGAACAATAGTCAGGCGGTAGGCCGCAGACACAGAGACGACGACGCCGCTGTGATGATACCTCGTCGCTGTACTGTCGAGGAGTTCCAATTCGCAGCCCACGTTACCGGGGTGGAGAATGTAGACTTCATTGAGCAAGTTGCAGCACCCCATATCATCCTGGTCCATGGAGAACGCTCTCAAGCCGCACGACTCAGATCCAGACTTCTAGACCTGAACTCTAGGAGACTCGCAAGCAACCCCAGTGCGCACCAAACAAAAGTTTACAGCCCCGAAAACGGGGCGGAGATCAAAATTCCCTTCAAGAAGGACAAAGTCGCCAAAGTCGTCGGCAAGCTAGCCCAAGTACCTCCGCCATCATCAACCGACATCGATGAATCCAGAGTGGTCAGTGGGGTGTTGGTACAAAACGGCTTCAAGCTCAGCCTCATGGCGCCAGAAGACTTACGAGAATATGCCGGTTTGACAACGACAACTATTCTATGCCGGCAACATATTACGCTGGTTGCAGCCGGCATTGACCTCATCAAATGGGCCCTGGAAGGCACATTCGGCAGCATTGAAGAAGTCGGCCACATCAAGCCGGAGACCAATGGCCACGTCAAAACGGAGTCGGCCCAGAGCAATGGGACAAATGGCTCTGAGCGGGAAGAAGAAGCCGATGAAGAAATTATTGCAGAACCACCACGAACGCTTCTCATCATGGGCTGCGTGGCTTTGAAGTGGTCAGGCAGACAAAAGCAGGTCGAGCTTGAATGGGAAGGAAACACGATGAACGACGGTATAGCAGACGCTGTCATGGCTGTCCTCATGACAGTGGAAAGCAGTCCCGCAGCTGTCAAATACTCATCAAGCAAATCAGCACATCACCATCACGGCCGCGAGCATAAGACACCAAAGAACGAGCACACGAATCTTTCGCCCGAAGATCGGTTTTCGAGGCTGTGCATGTTCCTTGAGGAGCAATTCGGTGACAACATCGCCCCAATCGAGCAGCCGCGTATTTCGTACGGACCCGAGCGAAAGGTCCCCACGAGAGGTGACGAGGAGACCAAGCAGGAGGCCGATATGTCCGAAGATGAGTCGGAAGAAGAAGTCGACATGGAAAGCGCAGCCGCTGCTGAACGCGCCAGGCTGGCAGCCTTGGGGATCCCTGTTCCAGGGTTGGAAATCCGCTTCGACAAGCATGCTGCCAAGCTATGGCTCGAGACGCTTGATGTTGAATGCGCCAATACCGTCTTGAGGGATCGAATCAAGGCTGTTGTTGAGCGCGCCGTTGAAACCATTGCACCCCTCTGGACGGTTCGAGAGCAGTAGAAGCCGGATTTCTATTCCTCAAAGGAGTAGGAGCGAGTTCACATCTTCGAGGCAATTGTTGCCAACTTTTGCACAGCTGTGCACACGAAAATCCGCCCTCGCGCGATGACAACTGCTACGACGGAATACGCTGATGACTCTCCCCGAATAGCCAGGACAGAGCAATCCCAAGGGTCGCCTAATCCAAGGGATCTGGTCTTGTCGAGCTGAAGGACGCCTAATCACACGAGAGACGCCATGGGACGTCGACATTCGGCCTCCGCATTGGTTACACCATGATGACAAACATCGCTTCGAGACTTGCGGGGAAGACGTCTTTGTGGGTGACGACTCGCAACCTCCATGTCAGGAGCGGTCACAGTGCGTCTGACACCTCGGTTCGCCCGTCGATGCTTCGGATACGCCAGATGATGCTGGATCCGCGACCGAGCGAGCCAATACTTGACGAGATAGCCAATACTTGATCTCTCCTCTTTCGGACTCAATACTATTCGTGCAATACTATATAAGAGCTTATGGCTTTTCACGACACAGGACTAATACTCCCTTGACCCTTCCATTTCCAGTCCATGCATATAGGTGTCCCAGGATCCCTTCCCTCCCAGCTGCATTGCGCATTGGGCCTTTTATTTGAATTATCCAGCGATTGACCGTACCACAGTAATGGCAGACAACGTGAAAACAGCAATAATAACAGGTACGTTCCCCGGCTCGCACGTCAGCGTCTACAATATGTGGCACCCATCCATCCCTTATGCCTATCATGCTGCCACCTCCTCGCTAAACACCTGCTATATATGGATGCAGGAGGCTGCTCCGGCATCGGTCTCGGTCTCGTCCGCCATCTCCTCTCCTCCCCCTCCGACCAACAACAACAACAACAACAGTGGCGCGTCGTCCTCGCGGACATCCGCCCCGAAGCATACGCCGCCATATCAGCCACTCTAGACCCTGCGCGACACACGTTCATCCACACGGACGTCGCCTCCTGGGACAGCCAGGCTTCCCTCTTCCGCCGCGCGTACGACTGGGGCGGCGGCAAGATCGACTTCTTCGCAGCCAACGCCGGCACCGCGGAGCGCGAGCATATCACGCTAGGCAATCCGTTGCATGCCGAAGATGTGGACGACGAGCCGACGCAGCCGAACATGCTCTGCACGCAGGTGAATCAGATTGGCGTCTTTTACGGGCTGAAGCTGTTTGTCCATTATACGCGGAGGACGGCGAAGCGGTTGAAGGGTGGTTCCGCGGAAGCCACGTCGGGCGGCAGTAGTGACAGTGGGACTTTCGTTCCCAAAATGGTCATCACGAGTTCTTGTTCGGCATTGTATCCCTTCCCGGTGGCGCCAGAGTATTGTAAGTTGAGTTGATTTAGATGTGTCTCTTCTGCGGTGGTCGGTTAGATGTGGCACATGTGGTTCTGCCTCGGCGCGCCCTCTCTCGGTGGCCCAAAATACCCGTGAAGTACTGTCCAGTACGCAGCTAACGAGGACTTGTCTCTTAGGCGCAACGAAACACGCCGTCCTCGCCCTGACGCGAAGCCTAGGCCCCTTGGTGTATGCCACCGACGGGATCGCCCTGAACTGCATCATGCCCGCCTACGTCGCGACGAACCTGACACCAAAGGAAGTCACGGACCTGTGGCCCAAGGAGTGGATAACGCCCGTCGAGACGGTGAGTATGGCCATGTGGACCTGAGATGGATATGCTCATCCAATCTTTCGTACACTCACCCCGCATACCATCCAGCCCCCTGCTTTTCACCCCCCCCCCTCTCTGGCTCGCACCACGTCTCGCAATTCCCATTCAGCTCCTAACCACCGCACAGATGCTGCGCGCCTACGACGAATTGATTTCCCCGACCGGCGCAGTGACAGCGGACGGCAAAAGCGACGGCATCAACGGCACGGTCAAGATCGGGCAGTCCGTCGAATGCGTCGTCGACAAGTTATTCTACCGCCACCCCGTGGCGTACGCGGACGAGAGCCAACGGTTCTTGATCGAGCAGGCTGTTGATATGAATGGTGAGTTACTGGGCTGCTGCCTTTCTGTTTCCGTTTCTTGGTCCTTCCTTTACCCACGCCATGCCCACGACCTGGAATCAAATGCAAGCGCAAGGGGGACCACTCTCTGGGATTATAAACCCTGTTTTCGCGTTCCTTTATCCCCCCTCGCCATGACTCTGGAGTCACGTGCAAGGAAAGGGGAGGGAAAGGGACTCCCGGGCCTGGAGCTGCATGTCCTGTATGCCCTGTATGCCCTGGCTCTCTGGCTGGCCGAGTGGCTGGCCCCCGCTCCCTAGCTGTCGCTATTTCATCCGTCCCCGTCCGTATAACACGATCCGCTAATCTAAACCACTCGTCCTAGGGATATGGTGGCAAGGTATGCGCGCGCGGATGGAATCCGAGATCAAGCAGGGGAGGGATGGGAGCATGGTCTATCAAGCCGGGGAGGGGGAGGGGACGGGGCCTCAAAATTGAACGGTTCACGAGTGAAAGCCAACATCATAACTTCGGGGCCTGGTAAAGTAGAGTATGGCACGCGAGACAAGAACGGAGCATGGATTTACCTGATCTATCACAGCGGTAATGTCGCGTGCCACAGATGAATCGTCCAGGTGCGCAATGTTCCACAGATATGACGAAAAAGAGGTCCATTCGGCAGTGGCACTGTTCGTATTCGCTGAAAACTAAGATTCCATCCCAGCTCATCAAGGGAGTATCTTCTAGGAAAAGAAGAGGGCTGAAGAGCACGGATATGGGTGTCAAAAAGCAGAAAAAGTAAAACTCTCCTCGAAAGGGGTATCATGGTGCTGTCTTGTGTATCTAATCCGAACAACGCCCCCAGTCTGACCATGAATCCTGCCGGGACTGATTAATCTTGTTCCACATCCTGCAAGGACGTGCAAGAGGCACCTTCTCCTGCCAATATCTTGTCTGTTGTATCATCACCTCCAATGTGGTGGGAACGCCGAGCTGGTATCGGCATCTGGGGAGTCAACCTCTCCATCGTAGCTAGGGTTGGTGAAGAAGTACGACCCATTTTGATTGGCAGCTGGTTGTACTGGTCCTCCTGATGTTGCGAGGTCGCGAATGAAGACGTTGTCAGGAGACCCAAGCCCGAGATGCTGCTGCTGTTGCTGTAACCGCGATTGCAGATCAAGTGGTGGTACAGTTGGACTCTGGATTATGGCGCCCGTCACCGGAGAAACATTGGGGGCATTCAGGTCGAGCCATTGCGATGATGAAGGCGATCCAATCAATGGGGGAGGGAGGAGGTTGACTAGTCCGTCAGTCTCGAGATGGGGAGCATGGATGTCACCTATGCCGTTCAGGTGGCGGTCGAAGGAGTAAAGAGTGTCCACGTGACCATTGTCTGCATTCTGTGATCGGCCGGCATCCTCATCATCTTCCGGAATCCCGATTAAAGTCTCCGCTTCTGATGGGAAGTGGCCGTTACCTTCACAAATGGTGATCAGCGCTCTGACAGGGGTGGGTTGAAGGTGCTGTGCTGGGGCTGGTGCTGGTGCTGGGCTGAAGTGTGGGCAAGGTTGGTTCGGGGCGGCGGTGATGGTGCCGGGGATCGTGGAGTAATGCATATCAGGGATAAGAGATACTCTAGCATCAGGTTCATGAGGCATTCATGATAGTACCTTGATGTTGAGTCTGTCGTTTGACTTGTTCTCTTGCCCAACGTGCTGCATTGATGGTTCGTGGCGTGAAGTCGCGCGAGGTTCGGGTCTCCTTGATGAGCTTGAGAACCCAGTCCTGTCGATAGTAGTCGGCAAGCGATCCGTTGGGAAATGCCTCGCTAAGATCGCTACAGACGGTTAGAAGTGGACAATCTTGGTACAGCAATGTACTCACGCAATGATACCCATGCAGGCGCGGAGAAGACCCTCATTGTGGTTCATGTCCTGGGAAACAGTCTGCAGGAACTCGAAGATTGGCTGAACGTAGGATTGAAGGATATTAACTGTCGCGCCGTTAGCATGGAGCCCTATGTGGAGCGGTTGGGGCTGCATACCCTTGTCGGTGCCTTTAAATGCGAGAATCAATCCTGACCAGGCGTCTGCAATACCAGAGCGTAGTGAAACAATGTAGTCAAGCATGTCAAACGAGACGTCGTTGGCGACAGACACATTGTTAGCCTGTTGTAGGACGCCAGCAACCACTGTAACATAGGTTTCGAAGTGTACACCAATGCTAGTGGCGATGTCTCCGAAAGTCTCTAGAATCGGGGGCTTGAGTGCATTGGAGAGTTTATCAGACTGCGAATAGTTGTCAGCAAAAGGCGCACATCTGTCACACTGTGGACTCACCCTGAGATCGTTGAGCAGGTAGTTCATGAATGTATCGCAGTATGGCCGGGCCTTGTCTTCCAAAGCACGGACAATGTCGCTGACAAGTCCAATAGCCAAGGAGCACATTTCCGGGGCTTCCTGGTTGCCCAGCGCGTTGTAAAGGTATGGCGCAAACGAGTCCATGTATTTGAGGAACTCGGCGGACAAGGCGTTTGCCAAACCGCTGACGATCTGGAAAATGACCTCTGGAACGCCCGTGTTGCCAGTGACGTTCAGCAGTTCCAAGTTGATCTGCATAATCCGGTCGGCTTGTGGTCCAATGTTCTGTTCGAGTCTCTGAACGATAGCAAGCAAAACACTGCTAAGGCTGACTTGCAATTCCTCCAGGGTGATCTTGTCATCTATACTGACAATCTGCTTCTGCATTGGGATCGTACTCTCGAGGCGTTGGATAATGACGTTGGAGAGCTCTGCAACAATCTGCAGGCTGTCATGGGCGGAGTTCGTAACGAAACCACTGAGAACCTCGTATGCAGCTGTTCGGAGTTGGTTGTTTGCATCCTGCTTCTCCGTGACTGCGAGGAGTGAGGTCACACTAGCTTGGAAATGAGGTGTCAGCTGGTTTGAGGATGCGCCCTCTTCACCCACAAATCGTTCAGTCAAGTTCAGAAGAGCCAAGCAGCAAGAGGCGGCAATCTTGGGGTTGCCCATGAGCCCGGCAAAAAGCGCTAGCATGAGTGGTTGCAGATGTACTGATGGGTCCATGCACTCTGAGCAATAGTCGCAGATTCTGCTCAGGGCAAATGCTGCCGAATCCTGTACTTGCACAACCGGATCTTGCATCATACCGATCAAGACCGAGAGTGCTTGTCTAACCAGAGGGTCAAGGGTCTTGATATCTGGACCGTCCATGATCGCGCCGAAAGATGAGACGGCAGCATCTCGGTGGGTCCAATCTTCACTTCGCAGGTTGGCCTCGACGAAGGAAAGTACGGTTTGCACCACGTCGCCGCCAATGGTCTGCGCGTAGAGCTGAAGGCATTGATATGCGGCGCGTGCGACGTTGTATTCCTCATCGGCATCATCTTCGGAAACCTTTGTCATTAGTTGAAGAAGGACAGGGACGACCTCGCGAGCAGCGACTCTGGCGAAATTGAAATACGGCCGCAGCTCGGTTGAGCCCTCTTGCTGGGCTTGTTGGTTGTCGTCTTCAATGCTGATTTCCTCTTCGCAGACTGTGCACCAGAACTCGATGGCGAGTTTGGCGACATCCTCTTCCTCGTTCTTCATGCCTGCGATAGTCAGACCGAACAAAGCCTTCTCCATATAAAACCTCATCTTGTCGTAGTAGATGCCCATTATGCGGTTGAGACAGCCAAAAGCGGCAGCCTGGACCCGGGTATCTTGAGATTGCGTGGCCTCACACACGACTTGCATGATGTAGTTGCGCTCGCCCTCATTCTCGAAGTTGCTACGGATGAACTCGGTGGCATCGCTCAGGGCCGACAGGGCCGAGAGTCGCACGTCCTGGTTAGCCTCCTCTTTCCGGGCACCTTGGACAACCGCAGTCAGGATTGCGTTGGAGTATCCCACCAAAGATTCTCTGAGTTCGACATCATCCGACTCGCAAATGAAGCCGATGGTCGTCAAACTGGACTGCTTGAGTTTGTCATCGCCGGAGCCGACATTGTGGACGAGAGAGGGCAACAGATCAGACCACTCATTTCGTGGTAGCTCAATAGCTGCAATAGTCGCAATCAGCTGGGCCGCGGAATTCGCGGCTTGCGGTGTAGAAGTGAGGGTCTTGACAGCCAATTCCTTGACCTGAGCCTTGATTTGAGGATCAACCCCCTGTAGCCATCTTGCCTGAACTTCTCGTAATCTGGTGACGTCGCGATAGGTGAAAGCGTTCTTGAGGGCAAGGCCAGCGGCTTGTCGAACGGCAGGGCTTGCCTGGTCGTTTGCGAGTTCTTGGGAGAGGATGGAAAGGTATTCGGACTAGACATGAGGCCATCAGTGGTTGTGGTGTAACTCGCATGGAGGCAACGTACGAAGTTGCCCTCACGGGCCTGTCTTAGTTGTTCTTCAGCACCACCGCGGATGTTTGCATCTGGACAAAGTCAGCAAGAGGTGGGAATCTGAGAATGACACTGTGCTCGCGTACCCGGCGAGAAGGTGTTCTCCAAGACGGCTCTGACGTCCATGATGGCTGGACCGAGCAGCGGTCAAGGGGCGAGAGCGTGGACAAAATCAAGTCTGAAGACGCGGAATTGGTGAAGTCAAATCGAGCAAAAAACCCGGTTCAGGAGTCAGGGAAAGAACGACATGCAGGGAGCTGACTGGCGATGAGATGGTGAGGAAGGAGGGAGACAAGAGAAAAGGCGGTTTGGAAAGT